TGGCTGGAGAGCGAGTTTGGTGAAGGTTTGCAGATGCCGGTGTGAGCGCCGCTGCAGGGTCCCAGGGGATATGAGTGGGGCAGTGACAGCCTCTGCTAGATTACCTCCCAGAATGGGGGGCTCATTACCTCCCTTTTTCAGTAAGTGGAGGCACCCCCGTGTGCCTGAGTGTTGCTGTCTCCTCTTTCCTCACCTCCTCCTTCCTCACCACCTCCCTGTCTCCTCTTTCCTCACCTCCTCCTCCCCTTCTTCACTTGCTGCGCCCCTGAGGATTGAGGTCAGACTCTGGGGGGGACTTCCGGTCACACAAGGCTCAGGGGGAGAAGGGATGGGCGGGCCTCAGGGCCTCGGGGTAGCTGCATGCTGGCTCCTGTCCCTGGCCCTGGAGGAGGGAAACGCGCAGGGCGTTGGGTCGAGGCAGGGAGGCAGGGCTGGCGGGGAAGAGGCACAGAAACAAGGGGGACACAGAACAGAGCCTGGGGGCCAGGGAGGCTACAGAGTCAGAGAGGAGGACAGAAGGACACGGAGCAGAAGGCACAGGGAGAGGGGACCTGGGGACTTCAAAACACAGCACCAGGGAGTCGGACTAAGGCCACCCTGAGACCCCCTCGCCAGTGTGGCCGGAGACAGGGGCCGACTGAGCCTGTGCACAGGGCAAACCAGGGGTTAAAAAGGCACCAGCCGGACAGAGTCTGAGACAGCGACAGGGACAGAAAGAGACTCAGCAAGAGAGGCAGGGGGAGGGCGAGAGGAAGAGTGAGGGGGAGGAAGAGGAGGAGAGGGGGAGACCCAGAGAGGAGCCCGCAGAGGAAGCGGATTCAGACAAAAAGGACAGAAAGGGCAAAGAGAAAACAGAAATGGAAGACGAGGGAGGGCGCAGGGGTGGCGGGGGGAGGGGGAGTCTTGGGGTAGGAGAGCCACAAGCCCGCGCCCCTCCCCCGCCCGGGTCAGGCGGGTCCTCCCTCCTGGTGGCCTCAGCTGAGCCATGGCTAATGGTATGATTGCTTGGTGGGGCGGGAGGGGAAGGGGCGGCAGGCATTTGTCTGTCAGGGCGGTGACAAATGAGCCCGAGTCGCAGCAGCTTCGGTGATGGATGTCCCAGCGGCAGGCGGAGGGGCGGGTGGGGGGCTGGGGAGACCCACCAAGATAAATGTTTCCTTCTCCTGGAGCCAGGCCAGGCGGTGGGGGGGAGGGGAGGGCCCGGGAGCCAGGGCGGCAGGGAGTGGGGGAGGGGAGAGGGAGGAAAGGGGGGTGAAGGCGCAGGGAGATGAGAGGAAGGGGACAGAGAGACAAAGAGGCCCCCAGAGACAGACAGAGACAGAGAGATCATCCAAAGAGATAGAGGAAGAGACCTATGATACAGACAGACAGACAGACACCCCAGGAAGGAACAGAGACGCTGAGGCCTGTCTTTTAGGGTCCCCTTCTTCCTCCACCCCCAGTGGAAATGACAAACCCTCAGAGAGAGTCTAGGAGGGAGGGAGGAGGGACACAGTCTGGGCCCCCTCACCCTGGAAGCAGGGAGAGAGACAGACACAGAGCTGTTGACAAAGAGGGGAAACTGAGGCAGGGAGCCAGTGGGACCAAGAGAGAAGACAGAAGGAGCCCTGAGCAGGCGCTTGCTCATGCAGCCTGTTCCTGCAGCCTTGGGAATCTCGTCCTGGGGACCTGGGGGTCGGGGCTGCTGTCCCTGCTCAGGTGGGGGCACAGGGGTGGGGTGGGGGGGACACTGCAGGAGCCAGGGCGTCCTGGCCAGGCCAGGAGAGGTTGCCCCAGCTGTGTCGTGGGGACCCCCAGATCTACTCATGGAGGGCTCCCAGGGGCGAGGGTGTGTGTGTGGCCTGGGGCTCTTCCCCCCTGTAAAATGGGGGCGGGGGGTCGCCCCACTGTGAGGGACACACGCGGCTGCCTGGTGAAGACACTCCAGGTACCTGCACAGACGGGCCCACACTCCGCCTCCCTGGGGCACAGCAGTGACACTGGGACCCCCAGGACGAGGTGGGCCACCACCTGCTCCTGCCCTGGGACAGACAGACAGACAGACAGACAGACTGGGCTGGGGGAAGCCGGAGCCCCTCCCCTTTCCTCCTCCCCGTCCCCAGACAGCTTGTTTTTTCCCTTCCCAACATCTCATGCTTTTCTTTAATTAAAAAGATTTATGCCCAGAGCCCAAGCCCTGCTCTTGTCTGGGGCTGACGGGGCCTTCTGAGCTCACGGGGACGGGCGACAGACGGCAGGAACAACTGAGAGCCTGCGTGTGCGACCACCCTGCCGCCCCCCCCTCCCCTGTAACTCTCCCCTCTCTCCTCTCCGCGTCCCTCTGCCACTCCCCTCGCCTTTCTCGCAGCCACACCCCCTCACTGAGGTCACACCCCTCCCAGTCGCCCCCATCGGGACAGTCAGATCCCGCCACACTTCTGGTTTTCAGAGTCAGCTTGGGGGGGGGGGCAAAGGGGACTTCGGCCTACATGCCCCCCCTCAAGATGCAGATTGAGGCAGGGACCCCAGACCCCTGGGTCCCCCCCACCCCCAAGCCTGGCCGAGGGCGGGGCGGGGCGGGGCAGACGGAAGAGCTTTGCATCTTTAATGTAAAAGTGATTTAAATTAATTTTCTGCTCCGGAACCCCAATCTTGGGGGCGGCGGGCGTGGCAGTGATTAAAGGCTCTCCAGACCCCTTCCCCTCCCCTGCCTTAAAGGGCCAGCATCACCGTGGGACAGCCGTGGGCCCCCAGACTTGGCCAAGGACGCCGGGGTCCCCGCACCCTCCAGTCTAACGGTTTCCCCATGGTCCACATCCCGCCCCCAGCCCAAGCTCACTGGCCACCCTGCAGACGGGGACATCGAGGCTCAGAAACAGAAGGACCTTGTCTGACCTGGGTCCAGACTCTAGATTCCCAAGGGACTCCAGGAGATGGCCAGGGACAAGGGCCAGCTGCGTCCAGGGTGTGAGAGGAGAAAGAACAGGAGAGGGGACGGAAGGAAGAGCGAGACAGAGACAGGGAGAGAGTGAGGCTGAAACTCGGCGCAGGAGCTGAGCCCTGCGCGGGAGAGGACGGGGCCTTCCAAGGGGCTTGGGGGCCACCAGGGCCACCGTCTCTTCCTCTCCTGCCCCCACAGCCTTCCAGCGCACCCTCTCCTGCCAGGAAGTGCTGCCGCTGCCCCGACCCAGGGCCTGATGCCGTAGCCCCCCTTGCCTTGGGCCTCGTGGTTTTAATTTCCACGAGACAGGAGGGGAGAAGCGGGTCCCAGCAGTGTAGCCTGTAAATGACAGTCGGAAAACAGACCCCGCGCGCCCAGCCCAGCAGGGGCGCTCAGGACTCCAGCCCCTCTCAGGTCCCTCCTCTCTGCCTCCCAGTTCCCCTCTCCCGGGGTCTTTGTCCCCCTCCCTCTGGGTCTTTCTCTGTATCTGTCCCCCTCTGTCCCTGGGTCTCTGCACCTCCTCACCCCATCTCTGTCTGTCTGTCTCTCTATATATCTTTTTTTCCTCAGTGATACTCCTCTGTAGTGACAGTTTATAACTTTTGGGGGGCCAAGGACCCCTTTGTGAGAACAGGCCACCTCCACAGGGGGAAAACACAGCAGCACCACGCCCATAATTTCCCCTGCAATTTTAGAGGTTCAGAGGTCTCGGGGGGTCTGAAGACACGAGGGGATAAAGACCCCTTAAAGTAGAAAATGTCACGGAGGGAATGAATTCCAGGCGTCTCTCTCTTCTCCCCTCGCCCCTCCCTCACCGGCCTTCCAGATGTTTCTGGCACACACCAGGCACACTCCCACTCCCATGCCCCAGGGCCTTTGCACCTGCTGTGGCCCCCTGCAAGGAATGATCTGCAAGGCTCAGAGGTCACCTCCGCCAAGAGCTTTCCCTGTCCAGCTGATGCAAACCGTCCCGCAGGTGCTGCTTTGTCTCAGAGCCCTCCACCTCCCGGCACTATTGGATATTTGCACATTTATTCACTCCGCTAGTCTCCGCCCCCCCTCCCCAATGGAATGTGCCCACCTAGAGGCCAAGAAGTTTGTCTCTCGCTCCCTGCCATGTCCCCAGAGCCTCACCTGGCACATAGTAGGTGCTCAGTAAGTTGTGTCGCACAAATCTGTTGCTCGATCTCCCTAGAATGCGGGTTTCAAAGCTGTCTTAGGGACGGGGTGAGCGGTGCAGACCCTGTCTCCGTAGACACACGACATTACCCTCAAGTTCGGAGACTCCAGGAACTCCCCGGCAGCAGCTGGGGGGACTTCAGGCCGAGGACCCGCGGGAAGGCAGGGCGGGCGGGGGAGGGGCAGGCACCGCACGCACCGTCCGGCACCCCGCGTGTTTGGAGACGGACACGACACGGTCCCGGGCGCGGCGCAACCGCCAGACTCGCTGAGCCCGCCGGGGACACCGCGCAGGCACGGACGGCCACAGACACGGGCCGGGAGTCATTGTCTCCGGAGGAGGGGGGAGGGCCGGCGCGGGGAAGCCCAGACCGCAGGGCTGGCGTCCCCCGCGGCGGGTCGTCTCTCAGGGGGGAGGGGGAGGGGACCGAGACCCGAGTCGGGCGACGGGCGGGGCGGGGCGGGGCGAGGCGAGAGCCGGCGGGCGGGCGGGCGAGGGCGGCGAGCGCGGGGGCGACGGGGAGGGCGGCGCGGGAGGCGGGCGGGCCGCACGCGAGCGCGGTGGGCGCGGGGGTATGGGCCCGAGCTCGCCCGCCCGGCCCGCGGCCGCGCCACCGGCGGACAGCGGGTTAAGCATCTCCGCCGTGGAACTTCCGGATGTGACCACAGAGCGGGAGACGCGGGGGGAGGCGGCGAGGAGCCGCGCACCCTCCGGCCCGACGCCGGCCCGCGCCCGCGCCTCCGCCGCGCCTCCCGCTCCGCCCGCCCCGGCCCGGGGACACGCTGGGGCCCGGGCGGGGCCTGGGCGACCCTCCGCGCCGCGCCCGCTCGCTCGCTCGCGGCGATGAGCGCCTGGCCGTGACCCCCGCGGGGGACGGGCCGGGGTCCATGCTCGCAGCCTCCTCCCCGCCCGGCGCCCGCCACTGACGGCCGCGGGGCTGGGGGCGGGCGCCCGGCCTCCCGCGCACCCCGCCGTCCGCGCCCGGCCGTCCGGGGCCGCCGCCCGCGCCCGCGCCCGCCCGGCTCTGGAGGACCCGCAGCTGCCGCCGGCGTCGGCCCATGGCCCGGAGGGTAGGTCCCAGGGCGGGACCCTGGGGTCCCCGCGCCTCGCCCCCCTCCATCTCCCCCTCGGGGGCTCCGGCCCCGGCGGCCCGTCCGCCCTCCCCAGTCTCTTTCTCGGCCTCTGCTCCCCTGCCCGGATCGCCTTCTCTCCCCTCTGTCCCCCCTTGGCCCCTGGGTGTCCCCTCCCTGCCCCTCGGTCCCCCCGCGGCCCCCCCCTCCGAGCCCCCGGGCCGCCCCTCCCCCTTCTCCGTGTCCCTCGGCCGCTCCACCCCAGGCCCTTCATCCCCGCCGCCCCGTCCCCTCCCCTCGCCGCCGCCCCGGCCTTCCCGGCGACTTTTGTTCCGAGCCCCGAGCCCCGAGGGCGAGGGTGGGACGCGCGGCGAGAGGGTCTCACCCGCAGCCGCCGAGGGCTGGTCTCCTTGGCCGGGGAGGGAGAGGGGGAGGAGGCAGCGCGGGCAGGGGGGAGGCTCCCATTTGGGAGGGCGGGGCGGGGCGGGGCGGGGTGCGAGGGACGGCGGGGCGCTCGGATTCTCGTGCGGGCTCCGAGAAGTTAGGAGAAGAGGAAGTGGAAGGGGCTGCTGTGCCTCCCTGAGCCTCCGAGTCGTCTTCGCCGACAGAGGGTTTGCCCTGGTGACGGACAGGCCCCTCCGGCTTCCCGGGCGTGTGGCTCTGTGACAATGGGACGTGCAAATGTCACCCCCTGCTCCTGTCTCCGGGCTGTGTGCGCAAGTGTGTTGCTGTGGTCGCATGGAGTTGTCCTTCAACAAGTGTTTGCCGCTGTGAGCCGGGCACTGCGCCAACGGCCTCATTCATTCGTTCACTCCTGTGCTAAATGTCTCAATCATTCATTCAGCCTGTTTGGCTCTGTGTGTGCCATAACGGGTGTCTCTGGGGATTGGGGGTGCCCTAAGCCTGCACGTGTGCTCCAAAGTGTGTGTATATGTGGGTGGCGTGACTGACACACTCGAGTGTGCACGTGGGCTGGTGTATGGCTGTGTGTGTCTGTGTGTGTGGTCGATTCACGTGGCCAGTGGGGGTGACAAGTTGTTAAGACACACTCAGATGTGCATTTTTGACAACTGCAGAATGAAACGGAAGTGGGGAGGCTGCATAAGAGTCCGCCTTTGTGTACAAACAGTGCCCCTCCTGCTCCCACCCTCCGCCCCTGCCCCTCTCCCCTCTCCCCTCCGACCCCTCTACCCCTCTTCCCTTCCAGCAGACCCTCCCTCTCTCCCTCTGCGTCCTCCCGCCACCTGTCAGGAGTCTGATGGAACATTTTTCAGTCCTCGGCCCACCCGGACAGCTCCGTGGGATATGGGGGGCTTCCAGGGGTCGGGGCTCAGGCACTAAGGGACCAGACGGTGGCTTCCTGGGACACAGAGGGACATCTCCTGGGTCCCGGAATAGGGAGGTTCTTCAGCTGCACGTCGGAGTCTCTTGACACCTCCCGGGGCTCTCCCTGTGTCGCCTCCCCCAGTACGATGAGCTGCCCCACTACCCAGGCATCGTGGACGGCGGCGCAGCCCTGGCGGGCTTCTCGGAGGAAGCGCCCTCAGCACCCAGAGCTCCTGGGCCCTACGGCCTGCACCGGCCTCCCCAGCCCCTGCCCCCAGGCTTGGACGGTGACAGCCTGAAGAGGGAGAAGGATGAGATCTACGGGTGAGTGGGGGCTGGGGCGGCGGGGGCTCCCTGCGGTCTGGGCTGGCTGCCTTTGCCCGTGTCTCTCTCTGCCTCTGTCTCTGTCTTTTCTCCTCCTGGTTCTCTTGTCCCCTCCCCGTTGCTCCACACACCCCCCCCCAGCCCCACCCTCCCCTCGTGAGCTCTCTCCTCTCCTGCCTCCAGACACCCGCTCTTCCCGCTCCTGGCGCTGGTCTTTGAGAAGTGCGAACTGGCCACGTGCTCCCCCCGCGACGGCGCGGGGGCTGGGCTGGGCACGCCCCTGGGCAGCGACGTCTGCTCCTCCGATTCCTTCAACGAGGACATCGCCGCCTTTGCCAAGCAGGTGAGCCCCCGCCGCCCGCCACGCGGGGGCGCCCGCGAGGAGGGGCGAGGAGGGGGGGCGGAGGCAGGCCGTGCCCCGCTGGCCTCTCTCTTCCCCCCCAGGTCCGCTCCGAGAGGCCCCTCTTCTCCTCCAACCCAGAGCTGGACAATCTGGTGAGACCTGGGCCCCCCACAGGACCCCCTCCTGCACGGAGTCCCCTGTCCCCTTGCTGTGTCCCTGGGGTTGGTTGGGGGTGCAGAGAGGAGGTGCCTGGGCCACCTTCTCAAACTGCGACCCTGTTGCCCCTGTGAGTGTGTCGTACCCATCACTAGCTCTGCGACTCCGGGCAAGTGGCGCCACCTCTCAGTGCCATGGTGGCCCCCTGTCCAGCGCAGCTGCTAGTAACTTCGATCCAGCAGGGCTGCGTGGGCTTGAATGAGTTAATGCGAGTCAAGTGCTTAGAACAGCGCCTGGCACGGGGTGGGACTCCCACCACAACCAGTGGAGGCAGAGAGGGGAGAAAAGAGAGAAGGAGGCAGGGGGAGGTACCCCGGCCTCTCCCATCCTTAGCACCCCAGCTCCCCCCAGGGCTCCTATTGGCCAAACCCTTTGGCAAAGGGCTCTGGGAAATGTAGTTTGCAGGTGGAGGCGGGGCTGGGGCTGGGGGTGCAGGTCAAGGTGGGTGCACGTATTGCTGGAGCCCACCTTAGCTCATGCCTCTTGTGACAGTCCCCTCTGTCTTTTGGTTCTCTTTCTCTGTCACTACCTCTCCATCGAACACCCTCCCTTTCCTTAATTCTGGTCTCCGTCTCTGTTCTGTTTGTCCCTGTCATTCTGTCTCACTCTTCCTGTTTTTCTGTCTCTGCTTTCCTCTCCTTCCCCAACCTCTCCTCCTCCTCCTCCTCCTCCCTCTCTCCCCCCCACCTCTGTCCCTTCCTGTCCCTGCTGGCAGATGATCCAGGCCATCCAGGTGCTCCGGTTCCACCTGCTCGAGCTGGAGAAGGTGAGCCCTCCCACTCCGCCCCAGCCCCTTGTGCTTCCCCCTCCCCCAGGCTCTCTCCCCACCCCGCCCCTGTGCACCCAGCCCTGGCCCCCGGGTGGCCCCCCCAGTACCCCGGTGCCCCCCCAGGTCCACGACCTGTGCGACAACTTCTGTCACCGCTACATCACCTGCCTCAAGGGAAAGATGCCCATCGACCTGGTCATCGAGGATCGGGATGGCGGCTGCAGGGAGGATCTTGAGGACTACCCGGCCTCCTGCCCCAGCCTCCCGGACCAGGTGGGCCCGGCACAGTGTGAGGGCACGCGCCACGCACAGGCTCGGGTACAGCCAGACGCTGGGACCCAGACTGACCAGGGTCCCCTTGCACGCGCACACACACACACAGGCACATGCACGCACCCAGACCACGTAACCGCTGGGCCCCAGCACGTACGCACACCTGCCACATGCCACCCAGGAGCTAAAGTGGCACCATACTACAACTTTATCAGCTCAGGACACCAGACAACAGCCACACACATGGCAGCCACGTGGGTCCCAACTTGCCACAGCTACGCACAGAGATAGCGTGGCAAAGCCTCGGAGAGGAGTCACACGAGGAGCACGCCTAGGCGGTTTCTACACAACCAGCAATGACACGGCAGGACACGAAGTCAGATACAGGCTCACAGCAGTCACAGAATGGCCTCAAGGACCCTCCGCCTCACAACCCATAATATGCACATGCTCAGCGAGAACCCCTTGTGTGTGATTATCGGTGACAAGTCACTCGCAGGCTCATTCAGAGGTCTTCATGCAGCCTCAGGTACACTCACATGACAGTCACCTAACAGTCCAGCCCACCCAGACACAGTCCCGGCGTCATACAGTCACTTGTGCGGGAATGACAGTAGCCACACGCATAGTCTTGACAACAAGACCCACCAGCTGTGACAATCAGTGTCACATACAGCCATGTAAGGTGTGGCAGAGGCAGACATGACCATGCTCAAAGGCAACTGTGTTTCTCAGCTGCACCCATGGAACAACCATGCCATGGCCACACCTCTTTGGGGACAGCCATGCCATCTTGGACTCTTTGGATACAACTGCATGCTCAGATAAGCCATGTTCACTTAGGTGCTACACGAAAGTCTCAGAACAGTTTCGGGACATGAACTTGGGTACATTCCCCTGCAGCGTGGGGTCAGGCACGGCACCCTAACAGCTCCAGGTGACAGCCACGATCATGCTCATGAGTCCTGAGATCTGAGCAGTTCAGCAGTTGCACCCAACTGATCCCGAGATGCGTTCAATGCACAATTCTGCACAGATACATCAAGCCTGGGCAAAACTCCCCAGCGGGAGACAGGGTGCACCCACGCTGGGTGATCTGGGGAGGGACTGGTCCCAAGTGGTGGGCAGGGTTGGAAGCAGTCATCAGGGTGGTGATGGCCAACCTCGGGCCGAGTGACAGTGGGCAGCTGGCCCTGGTCTGAAAGGTGGGTGCCCTCATGCAGGGCTTGTCAATTGATTGGCCGCCCTGGGCCACGAATCCAGCACATTCTCCAGTCGCTCAGTCTTTCGAAGTGTGCAGGGGGGGGGTCCTTCCTGGACACCCTTACTTGCAATTCTGAGACACCAGAATCTCTGGAAACTCCAAGTTTGAGTTTTTCTTTTTCATGAATTTTGTGCAGACTCACTCGGCAGCAAAATCTGACCTGAACTAATGAGAGGCTATTTATAGCCTTTATTTATTGCACTCGGTTAACTAGTCACCCACGTTGCTGCAGAAATGTTAATGAGTCTGACGATGAGGTTGCGCCCCAGCCCCTGCTGGGGCCGGTTATGAGCTGCACGGTGCATGCGCAGATTTACTGTCTAAAAAAATGTGAAAAGTCCTGGATTCAGAAACACCTCTGTCCCCTAGGGTTTCGGGTCGGGTGCCATAGACCCGTGTTTGTTGAGTGATTGCTGTGCACCTTTCTGTGAGCTGACGCACTGAATCTTCACTAAATCTAAACGGAGGGGACTGTGACTGTCCTCCCTTTTCCAATTGAGGAAACGAAGGCACAGAGAGGCGAAGTGACTTGCCCAAGATCACACAGCCAGGAAAGAGGCAAGGACAGGCTCCCCCTTCAGGAGTCCTGGCTCCAGAGCCCATACTCTCAGCCACTGTGCTCTCCCGTGCCCCAAGCCTTGCCATTAACTTCCAGTTCTTGTTTTCTAGAATAATACATGGATTAGAGACCATGAGGACAGTGGGTCGGTACAGTTGGGGACGCCAGGTCCATCCAGCGGGGGCCTGGCCTCCCAGAGTGGAGACAACTCCAGTGACCAAGGTGAGAAGCTTGGGAGGTGGAAGGGAAACATGGGAGTCGGCCAGAGGATTGCAGTCAGATCACAAGTAGGACTTCCAGAGGGGCAAAGACAGCTGGGGTGTGGAGTGGTGTCTGGGGTGAGGGTTCTGGGGCCCTGTGGGTCCCCACTCCTCACCGTCCCCACACAGCATGCCTGTCCCCCCCTCAGGAGATGGGCTGGACGCAATTGTGGCCTCTCCCAGTTCTGGGGGAGAGGACGAGGAGCTGGACCAGGAGCGGCGGCGGAACAAGAAAAGGGGGATTTTCCCCAAGGTGGCCACCAACATCATGAGAGCCTGGTTGTTCCAGCATCTCTCGGTGAGAGCCCTGTGGCCCCAGGTACAGGGTGGGCACAGAGGGATGGAGAAGGATGGTCCCCAGGGACTGAGCCCCCGAGAGCCGCCGAGAGATGGGAAACTGAGGCAGGGGGATATTGGGAGAGATGCTTTTGGAGAGCAAGCATCAGTGAGCATACCTGTGTGCCCGGTGCTGCTAAGGGCTCTTAACTCACTCAGTCCTTCCCACTAACCGCCCACCCACCCACTCACCCACTCACCCACCACCCACCCACCATCCCTGGGAGGGAAGGGCTAGCCTAGTGTTATTTCCACTGTGCGGATGAAGAGACTGAGGAGAGAGAGGTTAGGAGAATTGCCCAAAGCCACACAGCCAGAAGTGGGTTCGAATGCAGGCAATCTGGCCTTAACCACTGCACCACACTGCCTCGCGGGGAGAGACAAAAACTAGAGACAGGGAGAGGCTGAAACAGAGAGAGACACAGAGATAGGAGGAGGACAAAGACAGAGTGAGATAGAGACAGGGAGAGACTGAGTCACAGAGGGACAGAGACAGAAAAACAGACACTCGGAGACAGGGAGGGACTGACTCACAAAGAGAAAGAGACAGAGACAAGAGAGAGAGAGACAGAGACAAGAGAGAGAGTGCCACAGAGAAAGAATCAGGAGGAAGAGACACACCGGGCTTTGATGGTGACTCAGAGAGGGACGAGGGACAGGCTGGGCTTTGCCTCCCTCCCCAGCCGGTGGGCCCCTCCCCAGCAGGCTCCCCAAGGACGTCTGGCCAATTAGCCTCTAATTGCGGGGATGGGGTGGGGGGGTGGGGGCCGGGGGGCGTAACTGCGCAGGAAGCCGGCTGGGCGTCGCCGGGTCCCCGGCTTCCCAGGCGCTCAGACGCGCACGCGGCCCTCCCGGCCCCGCCCGGCCTGGGCTCCCGTCCCCGGGCCCGGCGGGCCAGGCCTCCGGGATGGGACGGCGCGGGCAGGCGGGGTGACTCTTGCCGGTGGCCGCAGCACCCGTACCCCTCGGAGGAGCAGAAGAAACAGCTGGCGCAGGACACGGGGCTCACCATCCTGCAAGTCAACAACTGGTGAGCGCCCCAGGGTCGCGCGCTCCGGGCGGAGGCCGGGCGCTGTCCGCGGTGCTGACGGAGGCCCGGAGCGCGCAGGGCCGGCCCCCTCGCGCCGGGTCCTCTCCCCGGCTGTCCCCGAGTTCACCCCCGCCTCTCTGCTCCTCCCTCTGCACCCCTGCGTCCCGCGACGGCGCCCCAGGTTCATCAACGCCCGGAGGCGCATCGTGCAGCCGATGATCGACCAGTCCAACCGCACAGGTGCGGGCAGAGCGGGGCGGGAGGGCCTGGGGTCCTGCGGGGACGTCACCGCCGGGAACGGGCTTCCCGGGGCTCAGCCCGCACCCCTCCACCCTCCTCGCAGGGCAGGGTGCCGCCTTCGGCCCGGAGGGCCAGCCCCTGGCGGGCTACGCCGAGTCGCAGCCGCACGTGACAGTCCGGCCACCGGGTAAGCCCCGCCCCCTGGCCGAGCCCCGCCCCCGCGCGCTGGGGCCCTTCTTTAAACAAAGGCGCCTCACCTGAGTTCGGTTCCAGAGCGACACAGGGCGTCGTCTGCACCTTAGGGGAGCACTCGATGCCAGCGCAGACTCCCGTCCCCTCCGGTCCCCGCCTTTCCCGTACCAAGCTCACTTCTTCCAGGCTCCGCCCACCACATTGGAAACCTCCCCTTTTTATTAAAGGGCTAACACCCTCTTCAAACACAGACTGGGCGCGGTGGCTCAGGCCTGTAATCCTAACTCTCTGGGAGTTCGAGACTCGCCTGAGCAAGAGCGAGACCCCCGTCTCTACTAAAAATAGAAAGAAATTAATTGGCCAACTAAAAATGTATAGAAAAAATTAGCCAGGCATGGTGGCGCATGCCTGTAGTCCCAGCTACTCGGGAGGCTGAGGCAGGAGGATCCCTGGAGTTTGAGGTTGCTGTGATCTAGGCTGACGCCACAGCACTCTAACCTGGGCAGTAGAGTGAGACTCTGTCTCAAAAAAAGAGAAAACAAAAACACTACTCAGTCCATCCTGGTCCAGGGATCCCGTGGTGAAGGGAGGGGTGAGAGGGATTTAGGGGGCATCTGGGGGTGTCTGGGGAAGACCCGCCAACCCTCCCTTTTTGTCTTCCAGGATCGGTGGGGATGAACTTGAACTTGGAAGGAGACTGGCATTATCTATAGAGGCTGGATTCAGGAGAAGTGTGAGTGCCCAAGGTCTAGGGGTATGCAACTCTCAAACCTCCAGAAGACCGCTGGACTCCAATAGTAGGCCCGGCCAGAGCAGGGTCAGCTTGGGGTCCTGAATTGAGGGCTCTCCTAGAGAAGATGTTTCATCCATCCATCCACCTGTCCATCCATCCATCTGTCCATCCATCCACCTGTCCATCCATCTATATATCCATTCACCCATCCTCTCCGTCAACCATCCATATATTTATCCATCCATCAATCATCCATCCAAATATAATCCAGCCGCCTACCCACTCACAACCCATCCAACCATCCCTCCATTCATCCATCCATCCATCCACCCACCCACCCATCCACCCACCTCCACACCTACCCACCCACCTACTCATACATCCCATTTGTCCATGCATTCACCCCCTCCTTACCCACCCACCCACCCACCCACCCATCCATACGTACATCTCCAAGCATACATTGCACCCTTGCTCCAGGCCCTGACATGCCTCAGATAGGGTTTGGCTCTTGAGAAGATTCTGGTCTTAAGGGAAATGGACATCCCCAATGACAATCCAGTGCAACAGTTGAAACCCAGGGCAGAAAGTCATCAGCTAGCGCTGGAGTTCCAGGGAAGACTTCCTAGAGGAAGTGGCCTCTGGATGGGGCACTGAAGGATGAATAGGAGTCCACTGGGCGGAGTCGGGGGTAAGGTGGGAGGTCACTCTTTTACTCTCCCAGGCCTTGAGACTCTCCTCTGGCATCATGGCAGCATTCCAGATCATCTTCTCATTTAGTCCTCACAACAACCCGAGAGAGAGAGACTGTTATTATTTTCATTTTACAGATGAGAAGACTGAGGCTCAGAGAGAAGAGGTCACTTGTGTAGGTCCACCTTGCTCAGAAAAGCAGAGGGAACAGCATGTGCAAAGGCCCAGGGTGGGGGGAGGCAGCCTGGGGTTTCTAAAGCACAGATCAGATCTTGAAGCTCCCTGGATTAAACCCTTCTGTGGCTCCCTAGTGCCCTCTGGACAAAGTCCAGACTCCTTAGCCCAGCATCCATCCATGAATACACGTCTTCCGAGCCCCTCTGTGCCCAGCCTGTGCTGGGTGGCGCTGGGGCCACAACAGTGACCGAGAAAGGCCCAGCCCCAGGCAGGGGCGACCCAGAGTGGGCAGAGCTGGGTTGTGGAAGCCCAGGAGCGAGAGGAGCCCAGAGGGGGCGCTGGACCCAGGCTTTGGGGGAGGGGGATGGTTCAGGGAGGGCTTCCTGGAATAGGGGGCATCTGACCCAGGCTGGAAGATTCAAGGAGGGCTGCCTGGAGGAGAGGACTTTGGAGATGAGACCAGGAGAATGGGAAGAGTGGGGCAGGAGAGGGGTGACTCGCAGGACAAGCGCATCCGTGAGGGCCCAGCAGTGAGGGAGGGGGCTTCCCCCCCACCGCCCGATGCCCCCACTGGGCCCTGTGCTCCCCCTCCTTTGGGTCTCTCCTCTCGTCCTTTCCTTGTCTCTCCGTGTCCCTCGTTGTCGTATACAATTCCGCCTGACTCCTTTCTGTCCCCTCTCCCTCTGTCCCACTCTGTGTGTCTCCTCATCATTCTCTCTTTCTGGGTCTCATCTCCCTCTTTCTCGGTCACTCCATCTCTCCTGTCTGTGGTGCCCCCCTGTCCCTGCTCCGTGTCCCCTCCCACCTCCTCACCTGGGCTGTCCCCACCCCACAGCCCCGGCCGGCCTCCAGCTGTGACCGCCAGCCTCTCCGGCTCCAGGACCCACCTCCAAAGGCCCGTCCACTCAACGCCTACCTCCCCGGGGCCCCGCGGGGACAGGGGGCCTGAGCGCCCACCCGAGGGTCTCTCCGGGACACCCACAAGGCCGCCAGGCCCTGAGCCTCACTTCTGTCCTCACCTCTGCCCGGGCCCCAGCTGCGATCCCGGGCCGAGGTCTCCAGAAGGTGGTGGCTGGGGCTCCGCCTCCAGGACAGAGAAGGGGCTGGGCGGGCTGGGAAGGGGGGGTCGCCCGGATCCAACATTTTGGGGAGATTCCTTCAGCCTCCCCCACCCCCGTGTTCCCCCACCTCCCTTCTCTGATTTTTTTTTTTTTTTAATGATAAAAGTCTTAAAAACACAAAGGTACCAATTGGAGTTCTTGTGTCTCTTCCAAGATTTCAAATTCTCATCCGTTTGAAGTTCCTGGACCACTGATGGATAATCATTGTCACTTTTGATCCCGCCCGGCTACCCCGTGTGTATCAGTTAGCTATCGCTGCGGAACGAACCACCCCAAAACTTTGTGACCCCAACAGCAACTATATTGAAGCTCATTATTCTGTGGGCTGGTATTTCATCCCAGGCCCCGTGGCCACAGGGCTCCCTGGCAGGGCTGGGGCCACAGGGACAATGGGAGGGGACCACGAGGCCGTCAGGTTGGTCCACAGAGAGGCCTGGCTGGACTCCCAGAGCGCCCAAGCCTGGCCTGTTGCTATCCCGGCTGCATTCTCTTGGCCACTGAAAGTCGAGATTTCAGGAAGAGAAATCGACTCTGCCACCTGTCGTCTGGCGGTGGCAGCCGCAGAGTCACGTTGGGACAGATGCAGGTCCGGGGAGGCATGAAGAATTGTGGCCAGTTTTGCATCAAGCTGCAGCACTGTGGCTTCCTGCACTGCCCTGCTTGAGAGTGGTGCTCACAACGGACGTGGGTTCAAATCCCAGGTCTGTCCCTAGCTGTGGCACCTCAGGCAAGTGAGTTCGCCTCTCTGGGCCTCGGTTTGCACACCTGGGAAATGGGAATGGTGGCAATGCCGGCCTCATGGGATTGTTGTGCTGAGATGGAGATATCGCTAGGGACGTGCTGAGGATGGCACCTTGAGTGTAGCGAGCACTCAGTCGCAGGCAGAGGTTATCCTTTGACAATGGGGAAACCGAGGCTCAGAAACTGGGCTGATGGAGTCCACTGGGGCTCCCAGCTTACCAAGCCCCTCTGTGCTGCCCCGAGAGAGACCACAAAGGTGGGGTTGGGGCATGTCCCTCTGCCCCTGTCTCTCCCTCCATGTCTCTCTCTGTCCCCCCGACCCGCATCCACAGGGTCCCCCCGCCCCAATTCTCCTTCTGTGTTCGAGGTGAAGTCTCTCCCTCCAAGCAGGGGCCTGCATCCCATCACACCACCCTCGGGTCCTCTCTTCTGGGGACCCCTCAGCCCCTCTGCTGTCCAAGCACCTTCCCCGCCCTGTCCTCAGAGCCACCTCTGACCGGTCTTGGGCACCCCCAGCCGCGTTCACAGCCACCGTGTTCAGGGTCCCTGGGCACATTGTGTGCCACACTGGGCATGAGGGTGGGACCATGAAAAATGTGTTCCTGGCCACCCTGAGCCCCTTCCGGGTGGGCCCCAGACAGAGAGATTCACAAAGAGACACACACGATGCTACAAACAGACGCTCAGATGCAAAGATCCACATGTGTCAGAAACACATGACAAACAAATAATATGCCACACTCAAACACAGTCACTCTGAGATGTGGGGACACACACACGGACACACACGGACGCACACAGACACTGGGAAACTCAAGGAAAACCCACAGGTTCACCACACGCACGCTTCTGTCTCCACACGCATGCACAATTTGCACAGAGCCTCACTCAAATGTGTTCTTGCACTCTCACACACAGAGCTGCACACTTGTGCTCATGCTCACACCTTCACACATGTGTTCACAGACTCACACGCGTGCTTGCTCACACGTGCAGACATGCGTTTGCACTCACACATGCATGCTAACACAAACACATGGTTCCATACAAGCACAGGTCTCTGCTGGCTCTTACACGCCCTTGCACGTGCGCTGGTGCTCACGTGCACGTCCACACCAGCTCCAGCACGAGCTGCCCCGCCCCACGGGGGCCACGACCCAGACCTGGCGGACTCGGATCAAACACCCCTCCAGTGCCCGTCCCATGCTGCTGGCTTCCGGGTCTCACACGCTGCCGTTTTGTTCCCATGAACACATCGTGCAGGCTGGGCGCAGTGGCTCACGCTTGTAATCCTAGCACTCTGGGAGGCCCAGGCGGGCGGATTGCTCAAGGTCAGGAGTTCGAAACCAGCCTGAGCAAGAGCAAGACCCCATCTCTACTATAAATAGAAAGAAATTAATTGGCCAACTAATATATAAAGAAAAAATTAGCCGGGCATGGTGGTGCATGCCTGTAGTCCCAGCTACTTGGGAGGCTGAGGCAAGAGGATCGCTTGAGCCCAGGAGTTTGAGGTTGCTGTGAGCTAGGCTGACGCCACGGCACTCACTCTAGCCTGGGCGACAAAGGGAGACTCTGTCTCTAAAAAACAAACAAAAAATCCCACATCGTGGAGCCCATTGCAGACCTAGAGTCGCTTAGGTTTAGACACTGACTTGTGCAAAGCTACCAGCTCGGTCCCCCTCCTGGGCCTCTGTCCCGGCTGCTCCATTTGCCTGGGACACCTTGCCCGGCTCAGAGGTCACCTCTCCAGAGAAGCTGGAGCACCGCCCCAGTCACACTCTCATCACCCCATTTCTTGTCCCCTCAACCGCCATCCTAGCTAGCAGTTCTCGCGGTCACTTCCTTGCCTGTTTTCTTGTTGGCTTGAGCCTCAGCCCGCAAGCAGGGCGGGCGCTTGCCTTTCTCCACCGTCCCCAAAGCAGCCACCGCCTGGCACTCGCAGGTGCCCGGGACACAGGTGGCAAGGACAGGACCCAAGTTCATCGTTCTGAGGTCAAACTTTGTTTATTCACGAAACAGATGTTTCCAAGTGCACACTCTCTGCCCGTCCCGGCTCTGGGACGTCGGGGAGCAAGTCGGACAAGGAGCCCCGCCTCGGGGAGCCGATGTCTAGTCCCGGAGATCGACAGCGGACGGAACAAATAAGGACACTCTCCAGTCTCTTAGACGATGGCAAGGGTCACAGGAAGAGTGGGTATGGGGTGGGAGTGTGGCTGTCACTTCTGTGACTTTACTGGGCCCTTCGGTCAGTGCTTGCTGTGGCCCAGGCTCTGTCCTGGCAGCTTGTTCACCCTTAGACAGCCCGGGAGGTGGGTCCCACTGCTGTCCCCATTTCCCAGATGAGGAAACAGGCCCAGAGAGAGGAAGATTCTGTGATTTTTTTTAAAAAGCCTAACATGAACTGTTTTCTGGGTGTGATATTATTTTCGTGACTATGATGAGTGTCTCTTTCTCTCCAAACTCCCAGGACTAAAGCGGGAAGGGTGACAGCTAGACTACAGGAAGGACTTCCACTCTACCCTTTTGAAGGAAGGTGGGGGGAGGGCTGTGGGGGAGGCAGCAGGGCCGGGCCAAGGCCTGGCACAGGGGAAGGGTCTCCAAGGCTGGGACAGCGGGGGAGTGGGGGAGGGGCAACTCCCCTCTTCCCCTCCCCCCTTCTCCCAGAAACCGGAAATGCATCTCGCTTAATCCCCTCTAATTAAACCAAGTGGATGGGCCACCAGGGAGGAGGGAAATTGGGCGGGAGATTCGCTGTAACTAAAAGTACCTCCCCCACTTCCCGGTTCTGGGGGGCCCTGACCGGGGGTGGGCTTCGCTGAGCGGGAGGGGTCCTGAGTCCTGGGGACATTCCAGGTCGTGGGGGGCCAGACGGGCCTGGAGGCTGGCGTGTGGCTCAGGGCGTGTCTGCTGTGGCTGTGGTCTGGGAGGGAGGGCTGTGGGGACGGTGGCCAGGCAGTTGGAGCCACCACTGCCAGGCTGTCCCGTGGCTGTGTCACTGAGGGAAGGCTGTCTGCCACACCGCGCCTCGGGGTGGGCCGCGTCTCCCCGTGAGTTTGCACCTGTGACTTCGAGACACTGGGTGTCCCTGCGTGCACCTGGTTGGGATTGCGTGACAAGGCAGGACTTCACCACTGGGGCCACCTGGCAGGTGTCCACAGCGTCCCTGTGTCTCCGAAGTCGCTCTTCTCTGTCAAGGCAGAACTGCCGGTGGCAACTGCCCTCGCCCAGCTGGAAGGGCCTAGACCCGACAGGGACGACTGGGTCCCAGGGTGGCGCGGGCCAAGTGCGACCCTACTTAATCACCCAAGGCAAGGCAGGCACAGCGCTGTGTGACAGCAGATGAAGCAGCCGTCAGAGTAGTCTGACATCTGTCACGGTGGCCCTAGAAGTGTAACCGACGGGCAGGCTACTAAGTTCTTTTTTGTTTTGGGGTTTTTTTGAGACAGAGTCTCACTCTGTCGCCCGGGCTAGAGTGAGTGCCGTGGCATCAGCCTCGGTCACAGCAACCTCAAACTCCTGGGCTCAAGGGATCCTCCTGCCTCAGCCTCCTGAGTAGCTGGGACTACAGGCAGGCGCCACCATGCCATATATATATATGTATATATATATAAATTTTTTTTTTAGTTGTCCAGCTAATTTCTTTCTATTTTTTTAGTAGAGACAGGGGTCTCTCTCTTGCTCAGGCTGGTCTCGAACTCCTGAGCTCAAGTGTTCCTCCTGCCTCAGCCTCCCAGAGTGCTAGGATTACAGGTGTGAGCCACCACGCCCGGCCCAGGCTACTAAGTTCTTATCCCATCTGTGTAACTGGGACAGTTTCATGTCACTCGAACAAAAGTTTAACTTTTGATTCATGAAAACAGAGAGTCCCGGCCCCTCAACCAATTCCCAGACTTGAGCCAGCTCACAGGCCCAGAACCCCTGCATGACGGGCAGCCGGTCCCCAACGGAAGGCCCCCCTATGCTACTGAAAACGTGCACTGTTCACCTTTCTCCTCGTCCTCCCCCAAGGGACCGTGCGACAGGACTGTGCCCGACTGTGGCCCTGAGCTGACCTCCTTTCAGGACGTCAGAAGGGCGCTGTGGCCGGCGCTCAGGGCCGGGCGTCCTGGGGCTCAGGTGATGGGCGGCGCAGCATTGTCCCTGGACCCAGCCTGCGGCCACTGCCCGCTTGTGGGAGGTGTCCGGAGGGCACACGCGGGCCGGCAGCGTCCCCACGCGGTGCGTGTCGCGCTGCGGTGGGGGCGCGGGGCACCCCGGGCCGCCTCGCGCGCGGTCCGCCGCTGCACCAGGGCGCAGGGCCGGCGGGCGCTGGCCACGGAGCCCCCCGCCTGTGTCCGTCGCCCCCTGCGCGGCCTTGCGTCCCCTGCGCATCCCAGCGAGACCGGGACATCCGCCCCGCCGCCTCCGGATCCCCCCCGAGCCGCCCCTCGCCACCCCCCCAGGGGGACGCAGCGGGCCGGGGCGGCGTCCCGGAGGAGGAGGCCGGAGTGGAACCAGAGGGAGGACGAGGCGGTAGGTGGGTGCCGCCCCTCGAGGCGCGACAGGCGACCCCCGGCGGCCGGAGGGGCTCGCGGGGACGGCAGTGAGCCCGCCTCCCTCCAGGGGGCGCTGGGGAGCCACGGGGATTTTTTGGTAACAGCTTTATTAAGATCTGATTCGTACACTGTGAAATCCACCCACTTACAGTGTACAATGCAATGGCTTTTAGTGCAGGGGCAGAGTTGTGCACCCATCAGATCAATTCCAGAAAATTTTCAACACCCTACAAATAAACCCTGTCCCCCCCTTACAGTGACCCTCCATCGCAGCCCCTGGCGACCCCCAGTCGGTTTCCTGTCTCTGCAGACTCGCCTGTTCTGAACGATTCCTGCGAGTGGGCTCAGGTGACCCTTGGAACACGAAGCCCAGATGGACATTTGGATTTCCAACCTGGTAAACAGCCCCATTTCTATGAGCAAATCTTTGGTTACTTTTCTTATTGTCTCAGCGGTGGCCGTAGCGGATGTTTGCTGGGCACCTGTTACCTGCTAAGCCCTGCTCAGGCGCGTGGATGAATGCATCCAACTCCCACAGCTTTGCGAGCGCGGTGAGGAGACAGACATTACCACCCCCGGCTGGGGGGACTCTGTGATTCAGCAATGTCAGCCCCAGAGCTCAGCGGACTGTGGCCCGTGGTCTTGCCCTGTGATTGTGCAAGATCTATACACTGAAAACTATAAAATGTTGCTGGGAGAAATCAAAGAAGAAAATGAGAGAGGAGAGACCATCTCCATGGTTGGAAGATATAATATTATCGAAATAGCCATTCTCCCTAAGTATCTATGGATTCGAGACAATCCCAGTTGAAATCCCAGCAGGCTTTTGTAAAAATCAACAAGCTGATTTTACAATGTATGGGGAGATGCACAGGATCTAGAATAGCCAAAATTCTTTTGACAAAAAAAAAAAAAACAAAAAAAAACCAACCAAGTTGGAGGATGCCTCACCTCATGCTACAGGAGCCAAGACAAGGTGCTACTTACAGGGAAAAGCTGCAACAAATAGATCGATGGGAAAGCCCGGAAATAGACTCACACACAGTCAATTGATGTTCAATAAAGGTGTCAAATGAATCCAATGGGGAATAAATAGTCTTTTTTAACCAATGGTGCTGGAACCATTAGACATCCACAATGCAGAAAAAGGAACATTTTAAAATGAATATTAACTGACATCATACACAACACCTAACTGGAAGTGGACCATAGACCTAAAGATAACATCGAAACCTAGAAAAGTTCTAGGAGAAGGCCGGGCGCGGTGGCTCACACCTGTAATCCTAGCACTCTGGGAAGCCGAGGGGGGCAGATTGCTCAAGATCAGGAGTTCGAAACCAGCCTGAGCAAGAGCAAGACCCCATCTCTACTATAAATAGAAAGAAATTAATTGGCCAACTAATATATATAGAAAAAATTAGCCGGGCATGGTGGCGAATGCCTGTAGTCCCAGCTACTCGGGAGGCTGAGGCAGGAGGATTGCTTGAGCCCAGGAGTCTGAGGTTGCTGTGAGCGAGGCTGATGCCACGGCACTCACTCTAGCCTGGGCAACAAAGTGAGACTCTGTCTCTCAAAAAAAAAAAAGTAAGATCTGCAGGCAGCCTAGAACTGTAGTTAAGCATATGGACTTGGGAGCCAGGCAGCCCAGGTTCAAATCCCAGCTCTGTTAACGTATTTCCTGGGTGATCTTGTGCAGGTTACTCAACCTCTCTGTGCCTCAGCGCTTCTATCTGCAAAATGGAAGCAATGATAGCATCTATCTTGCTTAGTTCTTTCAAAGATTAAACGAATCCTATGTAAAGTGTTTAGAATGGTGCCTGGCACATAGTAGGCATCATATGAGTGCTTGCTATATGCAACACAGAGCATGCAATTTATCTTGTAAGTTGGACAGAGATACAGCTGGTCTAGGCCAGGCACAGTGGCTCACGCCTGTAATCCTAGCATTTTGAGAGACTGAGGCAGGAGGATCCCTTAAGCCCAGGAGTTTGAGGTTGCTGTGAGCTATGATGAGGCCACTGTACTCCAGCCAGGACAACTGAGTGAGACTCTGTCTCCAAACAAAAACCAAAAACAGGAACTCAAAACAGACAAAAATTACCATGAAAAAGTGTATGCACGGATGTTTACTACCGCACTACTGGAAAAGAACAGAGAGAGTCCAAATGTAGAAGAGGAAGGAGGTTTTTACAGCGATGGCATGCCAAGCAAGGGGATATTTGACAGCCACCGGAAAATCCAATTTTGGAAGAATTTATAATACTCTGGAAAAATCCTCAGGATTTCCCCCAGAGAAGTATTAAATGGAGAAGACACACAGGGATATACAGTGGAACCTTGGATGATTAAAAAATGTACATTTAGACACACTTTTGTGTATTTATACATAGGCAGAAAGGCATTGGGAGATGAGCTCCAGGGCATTAGCAGGGCCACCCTCGGGTGGCGGATTGGGTGGGGGGTTACTTCCCCCTCACATCTGCTTCTCTGCGCTCTCCATTCGCTACCACGCTCTTCACTGCGGTGACACTGGGTGGCTCGGCTGACTTCCACCCTCCTCCCTGCAGCAGAGGCTGAAGCCACCGCTGAATTTGCCAGACTCCCCAGCAGCTGGGATTCTGGATGGAGAATTAGATCCCAACAGTGACGGCAGGAGTGACCCCAGAGTCACAGCCAGGCCCCGTGTTCTGGAGCCCAGCGGTTCCAGTGGCCTCAAGCGGCAGCGGCCCTGGACAGTCAGTTCTGTGCTGTCCTTCTGGGTGTCATTCCTGAGGGCCTGGCCTCAGCTGCTCCTCCAGCCTCCCACGATCGTAAGCACCCAATTCCCTGTATTCAATCCCTTCCTGTTTAATACACCTGGAGTGGTTTCTATTTAGGCTCTGATCCCTGCCCAAGACAATCATGCATTGCTTTTCCACTCAGGAAAAAATAATATATTTATTTAGTATATTAGGCTTTCCAAGGTTTCCGTATCCAAATGAAATCTTTGGGGAAAATAGACAGTTTAGCTGTGTTCATTTCTCAAGGGAAAAGAGTGTCACAGAAACACTGAGGGGTTTATTCAAGGTCACAAGAGTTGAAATTTATCCCATGCTTCTTCTGTTTTTAATGTGGTAAATCACATTGCTTCTCAAATGTTAAACCAACCTTGCATTCCTAAATAAACTCCACTTGGCCATGACATACTGTTCTCATATATTGCTAAATATCATTTGCTAAACTTTTATTAAGGATCTTTTTGCCTATGTTCATGAAGGATATTTCCCTTTGTGGTTTTGTCTTAGTCTGGTTTAGGCAAAGTCAGGATGTGTCTTCTACATTGCGGAAGAGTTGTGTTGGGTTGGTATCTTTTCTTCCTTCCATGTTTGGTAGAGGTCGCCAGTGAGCCCACCTGACCTTGTTCTCTTTGTTAAGTATGAATTAAATTCCCTTAGTAGAGTTGCACGGTTTTTCTGTGTCTTCTCAAGTGAGCGTTAGTAGTTTGCGTCTTTCAAGAAACTTTTCCATTTCAACTGAGTTGATGACTTTATCAGCATCAAGCTGTTCATAGTGTTCCCCTAACCTTTTCACCTCTGTGGTGGTGGTGTCTTCATTCCCATACTGCATCTTCTTCTCCTGATCCATTTCATTGCTCTTTGCAAAGTATCAGCGTTTTATTTCATTTATTTTCTCCACCGTTTTCCCATTTTGTTTTTTTGAGACAGAGTCTTGCTCTGTTGCCCGGCTAGAGTGCTGTGGCGCCACACAGCTCACAGCAACCTCAAATTCTGGGCTCTGTAGTTCAAGGGGAAGCAGAGACTGTGGGGACAGACTCAGGAGAGCGCAGCTGCCAGAGCACTGTAAGATGCTGCACCTGGAACCGGTGCGAAGTCGCTGCTCGGCTCTACCTCCCCACCCCGCCCAGGCTCCTCAGCTGGTGCACTGCAGCAGGAGGGATAGAAGCCAGACCCTGGGCCGGACCGGCGGAGGGCAGCCGCCGCATCCTGCACAGGCAGGAGCGGGCCTCAAGGTCGGAGTCGGGACGCAGGCTTTACTGGCACAGGCGCTCGCCCTCCCTGGGGCCGGGGCTGGACCGCGGGGCTGAGCACAGGCCGGGAGTTCAGGCAGGGGTCCTGGCCCTGGGCCCGGGCTGGGGGAGGCACAGGCCTGTGGGCAGACACTCCCTGCCCCTGGCAGGGCTTCCAGCCAGCTCACACGTGCTGCTTGCGGTGCCGCAGCACCTCCGTGGGCGTGAAGAGAAAGTCCTTCTGGCAGTGCTCGCAGCGGTAGGCTCTCTGGAGGGCAGACGCCTTCTGCAGGGGCTCGGGGGCAGCGTCCTCAGACCCTAAGGAAGGGAAAGGGGAGGCCGTGAGGGGCGTGCCACTGCACGCTCCCCCACCCCAGTCCTGGGCACTCACGGGGCTCAGCTTCTCTCCCAGCTTTTTTTTTTTTTTTGAGACAGAGTCTCACTCTGTTGCCCGGGCTAGAGTGCCGTGGCGTCAGCCTAGCTCACAGCAACCTCAAACTCCTGGGCTCAAGCGATCCTGCTGCCTCAGCCTCCCGAGTAGCTGGGACTACAGGCATGCGCCACCATGCCTGGCTAATTTTTAATATATATATTTTTACTTGGTCAATTAATTTCTTTCTATTTTTAGTAGAGACGGGGTCTCGCTCAGGCTGGTTTCGAACTCCTGACCTTGAGCGTTCCGCCCGCCTCGGCCTCCCAGAGTGCTAGGATTACAGGCATGAGCCACCACGCCCGGCCCTATTCTAGCTTTTGAGGAGTCCAGTTTTGCCTCCTCCAGGAAGCCCTCCTTGATTAACACACACAGAGCCCAGTCTTTACTCTTTGTCCACAACGATGAGACAGAGACTGAAAGAGACAAAGAGCGAGCCCTGGGCAGGGGCGGGGGTGCAGCCCCGCTGCCATCTTCCCCACTGAATGCCAGTGTGGTGGCACAGACACTGTGGAGCCCCCTGGGTGACAATGCGGTGGACGTAGCCAAGGCAAAGATGTGAGACAGAGAAAAAGAACGAGAGACACAGCCACAGAGACACAGAGACACAGAAAGAAACAGACGCAGACCAGAGAGAGACGGAGCGAAAGAGGCGGCGCTCCAGGCCCTTCCTGTCCTGGGCTCTGGGTCTCTGTGACAAGACCTGTGCGTGGCACCAGGCAGGGCCAGAGGGTTGAGGTCATCAGTCCTCAGAGGGCCCAGCGAGTGCCCAGAGACACAGGAAGCCACCGTGGGATGGACAGACAGCTGGACAGGCGGAGGTGGCCGGGTCCCCGCAGCCGTCCTTGCCTGGGGGGCCGCCCTGCGGGGCCTGGGGGCAGGCGTGCTCGTGGGCGATGCGCTCCAGCGGCGTGAAGGGCATGTGCAGGTCGCAGTGGGGGCAGGTCCAGAAGGTGCGCAGACAGTCGCTGTACAGGTCCGTGTCGCTCTGCGCAGGTAGGCGTCAGGCTGGGCCCCCACCGCCCCGCCCCGCCACCAGCCTGGGACCTTCCCGGCAGCCCTCAGGACTGCAGGCCGCATTTGGAAACCGCAGCCCGGGACTAAGCTGGAATGTTGGTGGGTTCGGGGCTGGGGCTCCCTAAAACCCCATCTTCAGGACGGAGGGTGGGGGGCCGAGGCGGGGTCCATGCTCACCGTGAGGCAGTTGTAGGTGAGGAAGTCAGTGACTGCGTAGCCCCCCTTGGTGGGGTGGGGGGACAGGGGGGAGCTGCCAAAGAGGCCGGGCAGACTGGGGGCAGCTGTGATGGTCTGGGGTCCCACATAGAGGTTCTGGGTTTCCAGCCCCGTGAGCCGCCGAAGACTGTAGGGAACCTAAAGACAGAGAGACAAGAGACAGAGGGAGACAGTCTGAAGCACATGCCACCCGAGCACCTGGATCCAGCTGTGCCTGAAGCCCTCCTTCCACTTCTCAATTGTGGGAGCCAAGTGCTTAAGCCAATCACAACTTGCCTTCACCTCCCTCCCACAGGCACCCTGGTGGCAAGTACCTTGGATGCCATGAACTGCAGCAGGTCCCTGCTCAGGGCAGCCACCTCCTTAGGACTGAGCGGCAGAGCCTCCTCTTCCTCCTCCTGCGGCCGAGGCCCGGCCTGCCGAGCCAGCTGCCGGTCCAGGGCGCTCTCCCAGCGCGCGCGCAGCCGCAGGGCGGCGGCCAGGAGCCGCACGGCGCTCTCGGCATCTGCCAGCTGCAGTTCCAGCCAGCCGTCGGCCACCAGGCGGGAGCAGTCACCACTGGTGTCCAGGGACCGGCTGAACAGCAACAGGGACTGGAAGACAGGGGGCAGGAGACATGGAGGGTTGTGAGGGGCCGGGGTGCCATCTCCGAGAGGCCCGCTGCGTTCCCACCCATTCATCTGCCCTCCCCCCACCTGTCCATCCTCCCCCACCTGTCCACCCTCCCCCCACCTGTCTGCCCGCCCCCCACCTGTCCTGGGACAGGACATCCAACCAACAGGGCGGCACGCGGGGTGCCAGCATGTGAGCCTGAAGCTCTGGCTCAGCCCTATCTGCGCTCTGTGTGACCAAGGCAGGTGACAGGGGCCCGCCCCTGCCTGAGTCTGAGTCTCCTCTATAGAGTGAGGGTCGCAGGCTGCATGAGGGCTCGGAGGCCAGGCCTGGGACCGCAGGGCGACACACAGGGAGCGCTCGGGGTATGGCAGCTACTCTCTGGCCGCAGGCACACATGCACACGTATCTGCAATTTGAGCGTCCTCAGTCTCCCATCCCTCCCGCCTGACGGCTGCAGTCACCTGGCTGGGCTCTGTGCTTCCACCCCAAGTCACACCACGTTCCAGCCCTGCTCAGAGCCCTCCTGGGGCTTGTGCCTTACTTGCCTCTCTGACCTCGTCTCCACCACGCTGCCCCCACCGACACTGCTCCAGCTGCTCCTGTGCAGGCCAGGCCTGTCTGCCCCAGGGCCTTTGCACATCCCGCTCCACCCAGGACGCTCTTCCCCCGGGGTCCACATGGCTCCCTGCCTTCCGGTCTCTGCTCAGTGAGGCCCACCCCGCCTCATCTCACACCATACCGCTGCCCTCCCCCCCCCCACTACTCCCTACTCTCTTGACCTGCCCTGACTCTCCCCACCCTCTGGCCCACAGCAGGCACTCAGCAAGTAACTGGTGAACAAATCTGTTAATGAAAGAAAAAGACAGCAGCCACAGCAACAGTCTGAAACTCAAGCATGTAGCAAGCCCGGGCATGACGTGGCTCCTCCAGGCCACCCCGGTGCCCCCAGCCCTGCGACCTAGCGGCTACCAAACCCGAGACCCACCTGGAGGGCGGGGACGCGGACGCAGTTCACCAGGTACGGCTTGTTGGTCTCCAGCAGGGAGACGAAGGCGAGGAGCTGGTGCCTGCTGCTCATCTTGTCCCTGTCCTCTGGAAGGGTGACGAGGGCAGCTCAGGCCCGGCCCTCACCCCCACCCACCCATCCGCGCTGGCGGCTGCCACCCCGCCTGGTCGGCTTGCACACCTGTACCACCCGTACGAAGACGTGCCCGTGTGAGTAATGACAGAACGTCCGAGACTTGTTTTAAATACTTTGCCAGAACGGACACGAGCTGGACCACTCGGCAACACTACGGAACCAGTTTTTTGTCAGTAACGAGGTCCCGCCCCTCCTGCTGGGCTCACCGTACCTCGGCTGCCTTCGCGGCCCCGGGCCTCGCGCTCCCGTGCGTGCAGCACCTCGGGGCTGCTGGCGAAGACGCAGGTGGGGTGCAGCACGGTGCCCTGCTTGGCCCGCGTGTGGAAGATCTGGAGGGGCCCAGGGTGGGGCAGAAGCGTCGGATCTCCTCTTCCGCCACCTCCCGGCCAGTCCCCTCCTCCATGTCTCAACTCAGAAGTCCCCTCCTCCAAGAAGCCCTCACTGACCCCCTTCCAGGCTGAGTCAGGTGCCCCCTCTGGCTCTCTGTTTGGGGTCAGATCTGTCCCTGCTACTGGACTGTGCGGCCCATGAGGGCAAAGCCAGGCCAGTTTTGGTCACCACTGTGTCCCCAGCACAGGACAGGCACTCGGGGAATGTGTGTTGACCAAATGAACAGGGGGCAGGGGGGCGGCAGGCCTCACCTGGTCGGAGTCCTTGCGGCCGCTGTTGAACTCGTCCGGGACGGCCAGCTGCGGGTAAAGGCCGCGGCCCAGCACCAGCTTGAGCAGGGCCAGCTGGTCGCAGGTCAGGTCCTGGGCCGAGCTGGCGGCCGCCTGCAGCTGCTCCAGGTTGTGCCGGAGCTTGAACTTCACATCCTGGTGGGAACGCGGGGCAGGCGGGTTCCTGAGGGGCCCTCCCCAACGCCCAAGGGACATGTGCCCGAGAGGTTCTGTAGACCACGGGCCCGATCCTGTCCCCAGAAACCAGGCGCCAGAGGTAAGGGCAGGGCTGTGTCCTCAAAGACCCCTAGGGGCGGCCAAGGCCTCCACCTACCCACCCACCCAGCCCAGCCCAGCCCAGCCCAGCCCGGCACCGTACCTGGATGTCCACGCTGTCCGCGGCGCCCTGGGGGGCGGGCCCTGCGCGGTCCTCGTCGCTGGAGCAGCCCGCCTGCTCCTCCTGCAGCCGCAGCACCTTGCGCCTGCGCGCCCCGCCCTCCTCGTGCCGGCGCTTCAGCTGGAACAGGGTGCGGCGCTCGCGGCGCTGCTGCAGCCGGCTGTGGCTGTCCTCCGCCTCCCGGGCCTGGGCCCTGGCCAGCAGCCCGTGGTCCGCCAACAGGTCCTGGGGGAGGGCGGGCGAGAGTGAGGGACACAGCGCCGAGCGAGTGGCCTGGGGGAGGCCCCTCTTCCCTGGCCCTGGGCGCCGCACAGCCCTGTGGGTCCCCTACACGAGCTGCCATGTGTGGCCCGGCAGTGGCAGCATCGGGACATCTGGGGACCTGGCAGAAATTCCAAGTCCCAGGCCCAAACCACACCCGAGTCAGAATCTCAGGGCTGGGGCTGGGACTCTGGATCCAACAGACACTCCAGGCAGCTCCAATACACATTAAACTGGAGACCTCGGCCCCCCGCCCTGCCCCCACTCTTGTGAACAGCCCCCAAATGACCCGACCCGATTGGACCCTGTGTTTCTGGCGGCGCTGAGCAGCGGAGAACCGGATCGTGTGCACGTGCGTATGTTAGTGGGACCCTGCTTCCCGGCAGACTCCAGAGTGTCTGGGGACCAACAGGCTGAACGCTGCTCCAGCAGCCAGTCAAGAGGGACACTGAGGGCAGTGGGACATCAGCAGTCCCCAACACGGGGACCTCTGAAATTGCACGGGAGGCCTTGGCTGGATGACTGGTCGCCCACTCTGGGCCTCAGTCTGTCAATCTGCAACCAAAGGAATGGGTTTCCCAGGGACTTTTATTTTATTTTCGTTCCGTGAATACTACACAGCCACTGAGAAGTATGTGGCTGCAGATCTTTTTGTGCCCAAACGGAGACACGTCCATGGAATATTAATGGAACAAGTTGCAGAACTGTTTGGGTATAGGAGGAATCCAAATCTTTTAGATTTAAGAGAAAATTCTCTCTCCCCCCACCTATATAATAATAGCAAAGATCGTTGCAAGCACTCGTACAGCCCCACCCACGTGCTCGGCCCGTTCTAAATGTGCTACGCATGTTAACAGGCTTAATCCTCACAGCTCCCGGTGAGGCAGGTGCCACTGTCACTGTCTCTGTTTTCTGAGGGGAAGCGGAGGCCCAGCAGCAATCAGTGACACGCCCGGGGCATGCTGTTCACATGTGGCAGAGCCAGGATCTGCCACTGGGGTGTCCAGCTTCGGTGTGCCGGCCCCGACCCCCCCAGCCATCTCCTGGCACCGAGTGTGCGCCGCCAGCCCAGCACCCCAGCCCAGAGGAACAGGCTCTTCATGAGGGTGTGGCGTGTCACTGCTGCCCTGTCCACCCCATCCAGGGAGCCCTCGCCCGCCTGGTCATCTGCTGGGGGCGGGGTGGACGCAGGCGGGACTCTGGTCTGGTCGCTGTCAGGGCGGAGAGGGGCGTGCTCCGGGGTGCTGACAAGATGCCTGGGCAGCCCGTTCCCGCCGCTCCGCACCTTGAACTGCCGCCGCAGGTTGGCCATCTCATAAAGCCGGTGCTCCTCCACGCCCCGGCGGCGGCACCACTTGCGGGAGTTTCTGCTCCGTTCAGATTTCACCTGGGCGGAGGCACAGACGGCAGGGGGTCAGGGCTGGCCAGCTCCCGGGGTGGGGGTGGGGTGGGGGTGGGGGTGGGAGGGGCTGACCGCCCAGAGCGCCACCCGGGGAGGGTGCGAGGAGGTGGGGCCCTCACCTCCTCCAGGGCTCAGCCCCAACGCCCCCTACAGAGAGCCCGCTGGGCTCTCCCAGGCCCTTGGACTCCCACTCCAGCCCTCTCTGGGTTGCCGCCGTCCCATCAGTGGCCCATCTCTTTGCACTGGATTGTGAGCCCCAGGAGCACAGGGCCAGGGTAGTTTCAGTCACCACTGGGTCCCCAGTACTGCCCAGTACAGGGGCCAGGCCCAGAGCAGGGACTCCAGGAACCTGTACTGGACACACAGATGCCAGCCTCAGGCGTCGGGACTTCCTCCTGATGGCACTGGTTCTAATCAGCGCCCCAGGCCCCCCTCAACCCTGGGCCTGGGCACGCACTGCCCCTCAGCCCGGCCATGAGTGGTGGAGGCCAGGTCCTCCCCAGGCAGGCCTCCTAGGGCGGGCTGGGGACGGGCGCAAGGAGGAGCCACAGCCGCAGGAGGCCCGCCCCTGCGCACAGGGAAGGACAGGCAGGAGGAACCGCGCCAGCCTCACCTGCACCCAGGCGTTGAAGACATTGAAGAGCGTGAAGGGGTCGCCTTGGTCGCTCTCCAGCGGCCGCCGCGCTGCCACGCACTCCGGGCTGCCCTGGGCGCTGCGGATGAAGGGCGACTGGACGCTGAGGGCGGCCGCGATGGTGAGCACGGGCTCCTCCAGGTTGAACATGGACCCCAGGATCAGCATCTTCCCTGGGGCGGCGGGCACAGGCTGAGCCTCCTGGGCCCCAGGACAGCCGCACCCCTCTTCCCCCGGGGTTCTCGGGGCCCCTGACCCATCACCCCCCCCCCCCGTCCTGTCTCCACCTGTCCCCATCTCACGCGCTAAGGGTCTCCAGATCCAGATGGTCAGATTCAGACCCACACACACTGTGCTTTCGGGTCACATGACCTCAGGTAAGGGCCTCAGTTTCCCATCGGGCACATTGATGGCACTGTTTAAGTGCTGGCTGCTAATGTCACCAACTTCCCTGCACTTCCCGGGTTCTATTTACAGCCTGACCTGCCATGGTGTATGTCACCAACTTCCCTGCAACTTCCTGGGTTCTATTTACAACCCGACCTGCCATGGTGTATGTCTCCCTCTCTCTAGAGAGTGACCTGCACTCGAGCTGTCACTTGGTCTGCTCAGGCACACAGCAGGTGCCGCCTTTGTGCCTATGGCAGGCCCACTCTTCCGCCATCCTTATTTAACTCCAGGTGGAGGAGGAAGAAGGGAGGCAGGAGGGCAGTGGAGAGGGAGAAAGGCAAAGATGGGGTTGGGAGGAGGAGCAGAGAAAGAGGGAAGAGGGGCAGAGGAAGGACAGGGCAGGACGTGGAGAAGGAAAGTGACACAAACAGTATCCCAACAAGGCCAAAGATCAGGTAAGAAACCGTCTCCACCTGTAAGCACTGCAGAGTGGGCATCTCAACCCCCCCGGTTCCAGGAGCCGGGGCAGACGCTGCCCCTCCTGGGAGGCTCGGGCCTGCCCGCCTGCCCTGTGGCCAGTGGCTTGCGTGTCACGTGTCTGACCTCAGCGTTCCCCCTGACTGACTTTACGCAAAGTGCCTGTCACACAGCTGGCCTCGTAAGGTAAGGGCAGGCAGTAAAGCAAGGCCCAGGGCCAGCCCCACCAGCCGGTGGCGTCCCTCCGCCTCGCTGCGCCTCTGCTCCCCGTCTGTGAAATGGAGCGACAGCAGCACCTGCCTCGCCTCTCAGGGCTGCCATGAGGATTAACTGTGTCCCACCCTGCGATGCACTCGGAACGCCACCTGTCACAGAGGAGCACAGGTCATCTGTGCCCCCGCCCCCGACCCGCTGCTGTGTGACCCTGAGCAGCCGTTCTCTGAGCCTTGCTTTCCGGCGAGGAACGTGAGAGGCGCTCACTCCCACCCCTCCGGGAGGCGCTTAGCATCCATCGCTGGCTCACCCCGCGCCCCAGGCGTGGTCCCCTCCCTGGCCCAGCCTCGCTTCCCTCATCTGTACATGAGGGTGGGGGTGGAGGCAGGTGGGGACAAAATGACATAGAGTCCGCACACAGCAAGTGTCACTGAAGGTTCCTTCACTTCCCAGCTCGGATTCTCCTTGCTCTAGCCCTCTTTCCTTCCATTAACAAGACAAATGAAAACAACCCGCCTTCCTACCCAGAGCCCGCCAAGCCCATAGCGTCCCGCGTCCCGCCTCCCGCCCGCACTGGGCACCAGCGTTGCATCGCAGGGGACTGTGAAGGCACCAACGCAGACAGGAGGTCCTGCTGCGCACATGCTGGGGAAATGGCACACGGTGGTGGCCTCGTGGGCCCGGGCTGCTGGAGGCGACAGGACGCGTGGAGTCAGGAGAATAAGGCGCGGTGGACTCGCCTCCGCTGGCGAGCTCCCTGGCAGGGGCAGGGGGACTCAGAAATAGCAAGAGGAAGAGTTCTGACATCCTCAAGCCCGCAGGAGAGGGCGGGGGGGCGGGCTGGGGCAGGCTGAGCAGGGAGAGGTGGGGAGGGCGAGCTGCGGAAAACCCAGGACTCCTGCGCTTGGGGGTCTCGGGTACCCACCTGCTTCTCCTTCCCGAGGGAGGCACCCCAGTCCCCCAGGTGCGGGGGACCCGAGTTGGAGAGCTTGTCTTTCGGCTGCTACAATCAGTGCTTCGTGTCATGCTCTCTAAACAGCCTTGCAGGGCAGACCCTGCAGGCCACACCCAGCCTCTAGCAGCGGCTTCTGCAGTTTCAGGTCAGTGCCTTAAGACTGAAGTCCCCAACCCCCGGGCCTCCACCAGTCCGCGGCCTGCTAGGAAATGAGCCGGGCATCACTGCCTGCGCTGCGCACCGCGCCCCCGGGAAACACTGTCTTCCATGAAACCAGTCCCCGATGCCAAAAAGGTTGGGGACTACTGCCTTCAGATACTAACATGTCACAGGTCAGTGGTGACAACAGGGACAGAGGGTCTCCTGGCCCTGAATCCCTCCTGATTAAGCCCCCATTCCTGAAGATACCCACGGTGAAGACAGCAGCCCTGCATGTGGCCGTGACTGGCCACTGCAGGTGTGAACTCAGGAGGGCTGGGAACTGCCGACTGTCCCCGTCAGGCTGCGAGGACCTGGCCTTTGCAGACCTTACCCATTCGTTAGATCGACTCCTTAATTTTCTGGCCACCTTCAGTCACATAAAACCCAGTTCCACTGAAACCCTTCAGTCTCCCATCCCATTCCAAGCTCTTCCCCTGACCCAGGGCCAGAGGGACCAGATGGCCCCTGACCTCCTTCAGGCCTCTCCTGACGGCCACACAACACCGTCCCCGGTCCCCACTGTGACCATTCTGTTCCCTCTTTGCCTCTGCTCAGCACAGAGCACCTGGTGACAGCCCGCATGGCTCACTCATTTGTCCTGTTCATCGTCTGTCTCCCTTGTTACACATGAGCTCTGTGAGTGCACGAGTTTTATTCCCTTCAGGATTCTATCTCTGGCATCTAGAATAGGACCTGGCACAGAACAGGTGCTCAAAAACTACTGAATGAATGAATGAATAAATGACAGGACCACTGGTTAACATCTCCTGCCCTCTTCCTCTCACTCCCTCCACTCCAGCCTCCACACTGTTCCCACCACAGGGCCTTTGCACTGGCTGTCTCCGCTGCCTAGAATGCCCTTCTGCTACCCCCTCACTGTCCAACAGCAGCCATGGCCACATGTGGCTACTGAGCAGTTGAAATGGGGCTGGTCCAAACTGAGATGTGCTGTGAGTATAAAATACACACTGGATTTGCAACACTCAGTATAAAAAATAAAATACCACAAAAATTTTTATATTGATTACATGTTGAAATTATGTTCTGGATGTATTAGATTAAATTACCAAAATTCATTTCCCTTGTTTCTTCTTGGTTTTTCAATTTGGTTCCTAGGTAGTTTTAAATGACGGGGCACACATTATATTCCTGTATTTCTACTGGCAAGCACACGCACAATATTCAAACAGCTCCGACCCCTCACCTCCATTTCTTTGCATAAATGTCGCCTTCCAGTGAGGCCTGTATCATAAACAGCAACGCCGAACCATGCCTGACATTTCCCATTCCCCCCCTCTTGCTTTCTCTCTTCCATTAACACTTAGGACCACCTGATCTACTATGTATTTTACTTATTTTCCTGATTTATTACTGGTCTCCTTCACCAGAATGTCGCCCCCCTGAGGGCAGAGATTTGTCTCTGTTTTGTCCACTGCTACGGTGCATGGCATAGAGCACGCATGAATGAACGAACTGGGCCCTGGGAAAGAACAGACTCGCCTTCGGGTCACTCAGAGAGCGAGCAGTGCCCTATACCTGCTCTTGGTGCCCTGTATGATCATTCAGAGGGGGTCCTCACCAATCACGACGTCCACAGGCAGCTGGGCCAGCAGGGACCCGATGGGAGTGAGGGCCTCTGAGCTGTCCAGGGCCCCCTGGTCCTGGAGGTAGAAGATGGCAGTTTCCAGGCTGGCTGCTGGCGGGGGCTCAATGAAAGGGAAGGTTCGCGGGTCCCCCACGCTCATGCTCTTCATCTGAAATGACAACCACACCACTGGGATCAGGGATCACAAACTATGATATTTTACAACTCTCAGTGTCGAGACCCATTGTACAGAGGTGGGGGGCATTGCCTGTCTCCGTCTGCCCAGCACCTCTTCCCCCAGACCCTGACTGTGGAGGAGGAACACATGACCTGAGCTGGACCAATCACGGTTCCTCAGTCCCTGATCATAGCAACTAACCATAGAATGAACACATGACCTGAGCTGGGCCAATCAGAAGCCTTCCCTGGGACTTTGTAAATTGAAGCTGGGAGAAAGCAGTCCCAGCATCCTCCCTAGTTCTCAGTGGCCAGGACAGAACTGCTACAGTTACTTTTCCCATTGCACGGAAATTAGCCCATCTACAGCAGATGGAAAAATCCTTGGATTGTTCCTAAGCTAGACATGCGCCCACCACATCTATATACAAATTGATAAAAGCCCCCTTTATGTCTACAACAGTTTGAGTCATGTTTCTTTCACTTGCAATTAAAAGAATCCCAATTAATTCAGAAGCCCATGTAGGCAGCAGGCGGTGGGGAAAAAGAAGTGACAGCACACACCCATCACTGGGCCTAACATGACGTTCATAAGCAAACACCACCTCTCTGGTGACCAGAGAAGAAAAGGCTGGCGTGGCAGCTCACGAGACTGCGAGAGAATGAGAAAAAAGCTCAGAGAGCCCGCTCAGCTGGCCAGATCCAAGGGCACTAGAGGTTCTGGCCATCCACCCAGCAACCAGCCATTCCCACCTTCCTCCTGCTGACCACGCCTTGGTGCTTTCTGGGAGATCGCCCAATACTCACAGAAGATCTTTAAGTTAGAAGCTAGACGCCCTGGGCTGGGGGCAGGGCATGGATTATAGCTTAAGATCTCCAGGTGATTCCAATATGCAGCTGAGACTCACTGCTCTGACCAGTCGGGTGATACCACAGGCCGGGACGATTACTAGTCACGGGCTGGACACACACAGCCCAGTTCTGCTGACAAGACAGGACGGGAGAGTGGCCAGGCGCCTTCTGGGAAAGGTCCCATGGCTGTAGAAACTGGACCCATGAAGGTCAGTTCCTTGCTTCTGCCTCTGGATGGTAAAGAGGGAGGTGACGATGCGCCCACGCATGCCAGAGCCAGGCGGCATTCGGGAGGCAGGCTCTGGAGCCCGACGGCCTCAGATGAAACCCTGACTCTGCCACTTGCCCACTGTGACCTGGGGTGCCTCACTTTACCTCTCTGTGCCACCTTCTCCTAACCCTTAAAGTAGGATGAGATTTCCTACTCCATAGAGCTTTCATAAGGATCAGAACAGTTTAAATATAAAACACTTAGAACAGGACTTGGCCCAGAGTAAGCACAAGAGAACTTGTTTTTTATCAGCATCATCAAGAGAGCTGCTGACAGACTGAGGTGGGAAAGATGGAAAGAACTAGGCCTTACATGATGACATCACTGATCCACTTCAATAACCAAGTCTGGAACCTTCCTGACTCAGGGCTCTTCTCATGTGAAACAGTAGATCTTCTGTATAGCTCAAGCCAGTACTATTTTAAATGGCAGGCTGTGAGTCACTAGTGGGTCAGAGAATCCAAGCACTGGGTCACAATCAGCATTTTTTCCAAAAGATGAAATCAAACAGAATAGAGAACGGTGTGCACCACCACCCAGAGGGGCCGGTCTGTGCCGCTCCCACACGTGCGCCGGGGCAGCCACCATCACTCTAACCAGAAGGTGCGCAGACGGCACGTGCGCTGTGTGCAGGCCTGGCCTCCCAACCCTCCTGTGCTCGTAGTCCCCCCTCTGCCCCCTTCAGCTGGCTGAGTGCCCATGTTGAAAAGGCCCCAGGGAGGTGCTGGAGCCACAAGATGGGAGGGGCCTAGGTCCAGAAACAAAGAAACCTGCCTGCCAACCTCAGAACTAAAACTCTGCTGTGTTCGTCATTTTATTGATTGAGTCCATCTAGGCTGAACTAACTGATGAAATGACACATCATGACATAAAAGACATTGAGAAACATCTCTTTTAAAAGTCACTTCCTGCTAGGTTTCCTGTTGCAGCTGAATGCATGGGTTCTTGCTTTGGCCCTGAGGATCTGAGGAACGATTCTCCCCTCAACATGGGTTCTGATATGTGGGAGTTTTGCTCAGTGGTGAGGCCTGCCTTGCCCTTCCTGGCCCTAGAACCCTGGGACCGGGCCTGTCTGGATGCCTCCTGGGTCCTTCCCTGCCCTAGCAGTTAGGATCCAGCCCCTCCCTGCCCCTGCCTCACCTGCAGCACCAGGGCGTCCAGGGCCACCCGTCGAATTTCAGGGACAGGGTAGGGGGCGAAGGCGTCGTAGTCGGATTCGGCGTAGAGGCGGAAGCAGACCCCAGGGCCCGTGCGGCCTGCACGGCCCTTCCGCTGCTCTGCGCTGGCCTGGCTGATCCAGAACTCCTGCAGCCGCTGAAGCTTGGCCTGCGGGTCGTAGCTCATCTCCTTCACCTTCCCTGGCCGGGGGTGGAGGGGACGGTGAGGGAAAGTCTGTGAGTAGCAGTCACCTGTGGCATCCACGCCGCCCACACGCCTGGCATTCTGCCCACTCCATGCACTGTCCACCGACGCCCTCACTGCTCCTTTACGCCCCTAGCGCTGCGAGCTTATGCCGGGCCCAGCCCCGACATTTTGTTCGTTTATAGTTTCATTTCCTCATTCACACTTATTTTCATTTATTTTCTCAAGTCTTTGCTTCTTTAGAGGTTTGGCCATTCAACAAATACCTCATTAAGCACCTACTACGTGCCAGGCACTGTACTGGGCATGAGGGATACAGCCACGAATGAAACAAAGGCCCTGGTCTCACAGGACTGAACAGAGCACCATCTTTCATTCATTGTAAGACCAAACTTTTCACATTTGCTTGTTTCTGAAAATGAGACACACCTTAAAAATCAACAACATGTCAATATTTGGCAATATTTTTAAACTTTCTTAATGGTACATGAAATTATGGAATGCTTTACCATCGACAGCATCCCGGAGTCGACATAATAAGGTAAATGCTAACATTTATTGAGTATTCACTCTGGCCAGGCACTGTCTTAAGTACGCAAGTGTGCTAACTCATTGAATCTTCACAGCCTGAGGGAGGTGCTGTTATTAGCGCCATTTTACAGATGAGCAAACTGACACACAATGTCAGTAACATGACCCTGATCACACAGTGAGCAGTGAACCTGGCCAGGCAGGCTCCAGTGTCTCCGAACCACTATGCTATCCTCAATTTCTAGAGAATATTCTAATTGGGAAGATGGAAAATAAAACAAATATAGCAACAAATATAAATACTAGTCCCACTCATATGAAGTGACAGTGGAAGGAGAAGGGGGACACCACTTAGCTAGAAAGGACAGGTGGGCCTCTCTGATGAGGAGACATTTACACAGGCTATGAAACAAGGTGAGGGAGTGAGCCATGTGGGTATATGGAGACAGAAAATTCTCAGCAGAGAGAACAGTAAGTGCAAAGGCCCTGGGGCAGAAGCCAGCTTGGAATGCCTGAGAAAAGTTAGGTTGTGGCCACTGCTCCACAGCCCCAAATGCCACCTACAGGCTGAGCATACTAATTCTGAAAATCAGAAATCTGAAACACTGCCAAATTAGAAAATTTTGAAGTGCTGACATGACAGTCAAATGAAATGTCTGTTGGAGCATTTCAGATTTCAGATTTGAGATGCTCAACTGGTTAAGTACAATAAAAATATTCCAAAATCTGAAAAATCTGAAACCTGAAACCCTTCGGGCCCTAAGCATCTTAGACATGGGCCGTTCACCCTGTACTTCCGGCTTCCACCTGGAGCTCCGCACTGTATGGGCACATCTCGAGACCCTGCGCTTCTTGGCAGCCCTTGGGGTGGGGGGCAGGGCTGGAGGCCTTACCAGAATCTACCACGAAGCGGATCCCATCAATGGTGACCGAGGTTTCTGCGATGTTGGTGGAAAGGATGCATTTCCTGACTCCAGGGGGCGCCACATCAAATACCTGGGGAAAGGGAAGAGGTGGCATCAGGGACTAAACTCAGCTCTGATTGACCTGTGCGTCTAGTGGCTTCCTGGATGTCCCATGGGCACCTCACACTCGTGTCTAAAACAGCCTTGGCAGCCTCCCCTGAGCCTCTTCCTCCCCCAGCGGTCTCAGCCTAAAGATGGCTCACCCTCCAGCCCGTCACCAGGGCCGGCCTGGGCCTTCCACCCCTCAGCATTTTGAAATTGCTTGAATCTCTTCCCTTCTCCCCACACTGCGGACCCTGTCCTGGTCCAGGCCCCTCCCTCCCCCTCTGATCCTGCTGTAGCTTCTCCCTCTCATCCCTGGCCTCCACACCGTCCAACCCAGCCCCCACGCGGCAGCCACAGGGATCTGCTAGCCCACCAGCTGCCCTTGCCCTTCACCTTGCTCAGAGGCTTCCCATGCAGGCACCACACCCGGTCTTCAAGGCCCCTGTGGTCCAGCCCTGCCCACCTCTCCAGTCCGTCTCTCCCAACTGCCCCTTCACAAGCTGGCCCCCGCCACCCTGCATGCTGCTTCCCCGTGACCCCATCTTTCTCCCACTGCGGGCCCTTGGCACGTGGCCTTCTCTTGGCTCTCAGACACAGTCAAGTGTAGTGGTTAGGACCGGGAGGCAACAACTACAGCCTGTGGGCCAATCCAGCCTGCCACTTATTTTTGTAGATAAAGTTTCACTGGAGCACAGCCTGGATGGCTCAGTGTACGGCTGCTTTCGTGTCGCAACAGCAGAGCAGAGCAGCAGTGACAGAGAGCCTGCAGCCGCAAAGCTGACAATATTTTACTCTCTGACCCTTTGCGGGAAGTTTGCCAACCTCTGGTTACGAGCGTGGGCTCTGGGGCCAGACTGCCTGGGTTCACAGCCTAGCTCTGCCACTTGGTGGCTATGTGACTTGGCATAAGTTGCAGCCCCACCGACCAGCATTTGCGGTCTCATCTGTCCTGCCCGGAACCGCCCTGACCCCTCCTCGCTCTGAACTACACAGACCACTGCCCCGCTCCGCCTGGCTCCACGCGATACCTTGTCCTGGTCGGCCACGGAGAGGGCGCTGTGCAGCGGCAGCACCACCCAGCGCTGCGTGTGGCTGGCGTAGGTCTGGGCGGCCTCGAGCACGGCGCCGATCTCCGCCATGCCGCTGAGGAAGACGAGAAGGTCGCCCCGCTCCTCAGCGGGGTACTTATTGTCGATGGCCTCCAACACCCTCAGGAAAGGCCGCGGGTCCAGCTTCTCTGACTTGGATGCAGTCGGCTCTGCCTCGTGCGGCTGGTACACCACCTGTGAGGCGACAGCCCCAGGCAGGAGCACACCTGTCACTCCAGCTCAGAGCAACGGCACAGGGAGACCGCAGGTTGATGGAGAAGACGTGGACCAGTCGGGTGGCAGACAGCACACTCCGACTGGATAATTTGGGGATGCAATAAAAAGACAACAGCAAGGTAACTAGAGAGCTTCTGGGTGCTGCAATGTTTGATTTTTTTTTTGAATCTGTATGCTGACTACAGAGATGTATTTTGTTTGTGAAAATTAATTGAGCTATACTCTTATGATACGTATTAATACATTCTTTTATGTTTAGAGTATGATAACGTCTATAAGAAAAAAAATTCTCCATGATGGAACCAGTATTAAGACCCTAGAAATCATTCCTCAGGAAGCATCCTCATTCTTTTCATATGGCTGCTTGGAAAACAGCTTGATGGGTATTTAGAACTGGAAACCATAGGGGCAATGAGGTCCTTCCTGCAGGTTCTCCTACTTGCAGGAATGACTGCAAGTAGGAATGACTGCAAATGAGGACAACTTCCTGGGACAGTAGTTCTCCATCAGAGGTTGCCCCCCAGGGAATATGTGGCAACCTCTGGAGACATTTTGGATTGTCACAACTGGAGGATGAGAATGCTACTAGCATCCAGTGGCCAGGGGTGCTGCTAAATATCCTAGCATGCACAGGAGGGCCCTGACCACAGAGAATTCTCCAGCCCTTCTTTGCAAAAGAAAAGAAAGCAATATATAAAAAAGATACCTGCACCTGTTATGTGTATCACAGCACTATTCACAATAGCAACTCTGGGAGGCTGAGGCGGGAGGATTGCTCAAAGTCAGGAGTTTGAAACCAGCCTGAGCAAGAGCAAGACCCCATCTATACTAAAAAAATAGAAAGAAATTAACTGGCAAACACAATAGCAAAGACATGGAATCAACCTCACTGGCCAGCAAGGGAGGACTGGATAAAGAAAATGTGGTGTATATACACATTGGAATACCATTCAGCCATAAAAAAATAATGAAATCATGTCTTTTGCAGCAACATGGCTGGAACTGGAGACGATTATGTTAGGTGAAACTCAGACACAGAAAGACAGATACTGCATGTTCTCATGAGCAGGAGCTAAAATAAATACTGTGTACGCGTGGAAGCAGAGTGGGAAGAATGGAGACTCAGAGAGGTGGATAGGCAGACAGGCTTGTTAGCTTTTATTCTTAACAAGCACTTAGCACTCTACCTGGCACACTGTAAATGCTCAGAAAATGACAGTTTCAAAAAAAGAGAGAATGTCCTTAACAGAAGAGATGGGAAATACAGAAGTAGAGAGGAGAGACATGTCCAGGTTTGGCCAGTGCTAGGGCTTGGATATTTGACCCTCCAAACCGCATGATGAAATCTAAACCCCAATGCTTGAGGTGGCGCCCAATGGGAAGTGTTTGGGTCATACAGGAGGATCCCTCATGAATGGCTTGGTGCCACCCTCAAGGTACATGAGTTTTTGATCTATTAGTTCCCCTGAGAGATGATTGTTAAAAAGAGTGGGCACTTCCCTCCCCCTTCTCTCACGCTTCCTCCCTCACAGTGTGATCTCTGCACGAGCCAGTTCCTCTCCACCTTCCCGCAAGTGGAAGCAGTCTGAGGCCCTAACTAGAAAGCCAGGCAGATGCCAGCACCATGCTGCTTCTCCAGCCTGCAGAACCAGGAGCCTAACAAACCTCTCTCCTTTATAGCCGGGTGCGGTGGCTCACATCTGTAATCCTAGCACTCTGGGAGGCCAAGGTGGGTGGATTGCTCGAGGTTAGGAGTTCGAAACCAGCCTGAGCAAGAGCAAGACCCCGTCTCTAACTATAAACAGAAAGAAATTAATTGGCCAACTAATATATATAGAAAAAATTAGCTGGACATGGTGGCGCATGCCTGTAGTCCCAGCTACTCGGGAGGCTGAGGCAGGAGGATTGCTTGAGCCCAAGAGATTGAGGTTGCTGTGAGCTAGTGATGCCACAGCACTCATTCTAGTCTGGGCAACAAAGTGAGACTCTGTCTCAAAAAAAAAAAACAAAAACCTCTCTCCTTTATAAATGACCCAGTCTCAGCTATTCCTTTATAGCAACACTAAACAGACTGAGACATCCAGAGACCAGGAGGGAGATGAGGAGGGAAGGAGGAAGCACTCACCGTGATGGGGAAGAGCCTGCCAGGCACCTGCACGACAGGGGCATTGCCGAAGTAGCTGGAGAAGAGCGAGATGTTGATGGTGGCCGACATGAGGATGACCTTGAGGTCAGGCCGCTTGGGCAGCAGGCGCCGGAGGACGCCCAGGAGGAAGTCGTTGTGGAGGTGCCGCTCATGGACTTCATCCACGATCAGGACCTCATACTGGGGCAGGCTGGGCTCGCGCTGGATTTGCCGCAGAAGCAGCCCGACGGTCAGGAACACGATCTTGGTGGCCGCCGAACGCGTGCTCTCAAAGCGGATCTGGTAGCCAACCTAGGGCGTGAGGAAGGCCCGAAGCGTTGTCAGGAGAGGACCCAGAACCTGGGCACTAGCCCCCCACGATGCCCAAATAGCAAGTCTGAGCAAATGCCATGCCTCTGCATCAGACTCTGCAGTCTAACAGGCCTGAGTTCGAATTTCACCTCTGCAACCTTGGGCAAGCAATGCCATCCCTTAGAGACCTATTTTTTTTCTCCTAGGTGCTATGAGAACTCCACGTGATAATGCACAGAAAGTGTCTGGCACAGTGCCTGGTGTATATACAATATTAATTAATTATAACAATAGTAATTAACCTTTCTTTGAGTCCTTACTATGTGCCAGGAACTACTCTAAATGCTTTTTGTTGGGCACGGTGGCTCACACCTGTAATTCCAGCACTTTGGGCTGCTCAGATGGGAGGATCACTTGACCCCAGTTTTTTTTTTTTGAGACAGAGTCTCACTTTGTTGCCCAGGCTAGAGCGAGTGCCGTGGCGTCAGCCTTGCTCACAGCAACCTCAAACTCCTGGGCTCAAGCAATCCTCCTGCCTCAGCCTCCCAAGTAGCTGGGCTGGGACTACAGGCATGCACCACCATGCCTGGCTAATTTTTTTCTCTATATATTAGTTAGCCAATTAATTTCTTTGTATTTATAGTAGAGACAGGGTCTCGCTGAGGCTGGTTTTGAACTCCTAACCTTGAGCAATCCGCCCACCTCGGCCTCCCAGAGTGCTAGGATTACAGGGGTGAGCCACCGCGCCCAGCCAAGCCCAGGAGTTTTGAAGCTGCCGTGAGCTAAGCCACTGCAGGTCAGCCTGGGTGACAGAGCAAGACCCTGTCTCTTTAAAGAAAAAAAAAAAAGATTGATAAGCATTTAGGACACTTCCAATTTTGGCTGTGAAAGTGCTATCCTGGTAATGCTAGCACCTTTGTCATTTGGCCCATATAGAAGCCAATCTGTAGATAAAGTTCTAGAAGAATCACTGCTAGGTCAAAGGATAAGTGCTTAACTTTTATCGAAACTGCCATGTGAGCAAGCAACCTATTCCCCAAGGTCACGCTGGAAAAGTCAGAAACCCGGTACGTCCCACTCACCTGCGAGCCATACTGACTGAGGCTCTCAAAGCCAACACGCTTGGCCAGTGAGATGCAGGCAATTCGCCGGGGCTGGGTGCATGCCACGTGACTGAAGCCGGCAGCCAGCAGGTACTGGGGCACCTGAGTAGACTTGCCACAGCCCGTGTCCCCAGCCACCACCACCACCTGATGCTCCTTGAGCGTCTTCAGGATGCGGGTCCCGTACTGGGCAATGGGAAGCGCCGCGCGCTCGCGCTGCAGTCTGGCCAGCCGCCCGAACGCCTGCTTCTGGCCGAAGTCCAGGTAGTGTAACAGGGCTCGGCGGAACTCAGACACTCTCTCTGGCGGCAGGCCCCTGCCTGGTCCCCGAGAGCCTCGCACATCGGGACCAAGGACAGACAGGTTGATGCGGTACCGAGGGTCGTAAGTGCGAGGTAGGTCGGCCAGGGCTGGGACACTGTCCTTGCGATGCCCGGGGTCTTTCTCCTCCTTCCTGGAGGTCTTGAGATTCTGGAATCTCTGCAGGCGTTCAAAGAAGGTCCAAAACTTCTGGCACTCCTCAGAACCCTGACGGATACAACCCTCTTCACGGAAGAAGGCATCTTCCAAGAGGCGACGCGTCTCTGGACAATTCCAGTCCCATCTTTCCAGGATCTCGTCCTCATTGGGAGCCTGGTGGTGGTCTCGCTGATTCCGGCCCTCCCTTGTTCGGGGAGGAGGCATGGTGCTAATCACAATGCTACCACAAGAGTGGCCTCGGTTCCCGTCACCTGGGCCAAACAGCTCATCTCTTCCCCTCCAGAGTAGGAGGCCGGTGCCTGTGATAAGTAATTAGTTTCTCTTCAAAAAGCTAATTTTCCTCCTCATTCAGGGTACAGGACCACTGCAGATGACAGGGTAAGTGGCCAGGGGCCTGGCTGACCTGGTGTTACATGGGGTACCTCATGGCCCCTGCAGTGACCTCTGGGATGGACACAAGTTTATACTGGGTTTTCGCGCTCTGGATGCTTGGGAAAGAGAACAGAAGACATTCGATCGTTTTTTAGAAATATCTGTTAAAAGCCTCCTGCTTCTCGGGCACTGGACTAGATCCAAAGAAGGTGCCTGCCCATGCTTGGGAGTCAGGGAAGGATCCCGAAAGGAGGGGCTGTTTGACCTCAGACCTAAAAGAGGAGTATGGGTCGCGTGGCCAAGAAACAGCAGAACATCGCTGTAAGAGGATAACACAAGAGACGTGTGATACAATGAGAATAAGGCAAGGGCTCTTAATCAGCGACTCACTAAGCTTCAGAACATTGAAATTAAATGCAAAATTTTGACTGGGTGTAATGGCTTATGCCTGTAATCCTAGCAATTTGGAAGGCCGAGGCAGGAGGATCGCTGGAGGCCAGGAGTTCTAAACCAGCCTGAGCAAGAGTGAGATGCCGTCTCTACAAAAAAATAAAAATAAAAAATTAGCCAGGCACGTTGGCAAACACCTTTAGTTCCAGCTACTTGAGATTGAGGCAGGGATATCACTTGAGCCCAGGAGACTGAGGTTGCAGTGAGCTGTGATCACGCCACTGCACTCCAGCCCAGATAACAGGGCAAGACCCTGTCTCTAAATAAATGCAAAATTTTGCAAGTGTTATGTATGTATTATTTTTGCCTACCTGGTACAATCCGTTGCCCCTTTTCTGAGAACAGTATCCACCTTCCTTTGGAGAACCACCCTTCGTCAATTCCACACAGTTCTGAGGACCTTTAAGCCAGAGAACCTCTACTGGTTGGACAAGTGACAAAGGCCTAGCCAATCAGCGTACTCTATTCCCCCTTTAACCAGTGATTGGCATAGGGAGTGAACACATGACCCAAGCAGCGCCAATCAGGGCTCTTCTCTGGAATTTTGCTTGGTTACTAGGAGAAAAAAGCTTTCACTTTTTTGTGATAAGTTTGATATAAACCTGGAGGTGTTTGTAGCAGTTCTGGAACATGATAGTCTTTCCTAGAAATCTACCCTGGAGAAAAGCCTGCACATAGGCACAGTGAGGGACACATAAAGATGGCTACGGAGCAACTACAGGGAGAAAGGAGAAAGATGGAGTGGTGGAGAAGCTTGGCAGCATCATTTAGGCTTAGTTCCCCTCTAAGCTACATTTAGGCTTAGTTCCCTTCTCGGCTACACTAGAAAATGCCTTTTTGCTTAAAGTTGGGCTTTTTTTCAGCTGAAAAAGTCCTAACAAATAAAGAGCATACCCTCATATGTGCAATTTTCTGGAGGGAAGTCCATCACTCAGATTCTTAAAGGGGTTTATAATCTTAAAAGAGTTCAAAGCCTTCCTTGGTAAAGGCTTTGGAATCAGGCAGATCTGGGTTTGAATCTCAGCTTCATCATTTACTAGGTGTGTGCCCACTGGAAAATTAACGGGATGGTTTTCTTCATCTATAAAATGGAGACAGACCAGGTACACTGGCTCAGGCTTGTAATTCTAGCACTTTGGGAGGCCAAGGCAGGAGGACCACTTGAGGCCAAAAGTTCCAGACTAACCAGGGCAACATAGCAAGATCAGTCTCTACATAAAAATAAGAAAAATCAACTGGGTGTGGTGGCACACACCTGTGCCCCAGCTACTCAGGAGGCTGAGGCAGGAGGCTCACTTGTGCCCAGGAGTTCAAGGCTGCAGTGAGCTGATATCACATCACTACACTCCAGCCTGGGGGACAGAGCAAGACCCTGTCTCTATTTAAACAAAACAAAGGAGATAGTATCTATCCCAAACCATTGCAATGCTTTATCACCTAGCCTGGTGCAAAGAAGCTAAATAGTAACTAGTTTTTCCTCTACCACAAGAGATGACTAACAAGTGGAAAACAGCAGGACAAACTGTGGTATACAGTGTGGAAAAAATTCCACTCACAAGGCCACAATTCCCCTTCTTAATGGTATTACCAATGCTCCACCTACTCCGACTTCAATCTCTCAAAGGCCATCATGAAACAGTTTGGGGACTGAACATCTGTGGGAGGCAGCTGGGCAGGGGCTGGGGGGAGGGGGACACATTCAGGCCAACCCTGGAAATTACTACAGCCAGGTCTTGTGAACTGGCAGAGTTGTTTCCCACAGAAACAGCAGCCCGTGGGGAGTGTACATCACTTCCCGCTGAACACCTGGGCTCCGTGAGGCTATGGCTGCATCCCCCTCCTGTTCTAGCACAGAGAATGAGAAGGCCTTAGAGGGCTACTCTGACATGAGCCAGTGATCCAGGGATGACAAAAAGCAGAGTGTTCCTCTCAGGCTACAAACTGCCCACACATGCTGGGCTCAATTTAGAGAAGCCCATGCTTCTCAAAGAGTTTATTCTCTTAGGCTTTTAGATTGTCTAGATCTTCTAGTTTCTGTGTCTCTCACCATCTCTTGGCCTATTTCTCCTAGGCCTGTGGCCATTTGTGGGTCCTGTTTCCCTCTCTCCTCCCAGGACTTCATCTTCAGGCCTCCTCCTCTTTCAGCCCATGTTGCCCTCCACTCTCACCCCTCTTCCCTTTCCTAGTCTTGGTCTCATTCCTCTTCATTTATCTGAGCCCATTTTTTTTTTTTTTAGACAGAGTCTTGCTTTGTTGCCCAGGCTAGAGTGAGTGCTGTGGCGTCAGCCTAGCTCACAGCAACCTCAAACTCCTGGGTTCAAGCGATCCTCCTGCCTCAGCCTCCTGAGTAGCTGGGACTACAGGCATGCACCACCATGCCCGGCTTATATATATATATATGTGTATATATATATATATATATGTATGTATGTATGTATGTTGGCCAATTAATTTCTTTCTATCTTTTTATAGTAGAGATGGGGTCTCACTCAGGCTGGTTTTGAACTCCTGACCTTGAGCAATCCGCCCGCCTCGGCCTCCCAGAGTGCTTGAGTCCATTTTTCAGTATGATTTATCCTGTCACCCAACTGTCTCTCTCTTCATCCCTCCAGTTCTCCACTTGTCTTTCTACATCTCTTTCTCCTTCTCTGTTCTAATCTTTTTTTCTGGCTCTCCATTTTTGTCTCTCTCCATTTCTCCATCTAATACTTTGTCTCCCAATCATCTGAAGCTTTAATAACAACCACCTACCTACTTACTTGCTTAAGCACCTGTTCTAAATCACATGTATGTTCACATCACACTTTTCTCACAACCGTGAGAAGGTGCTATTAGGCTCCCAGTTTTACTGAGCCCCAGAGACGCTAGATAACTAGTGACAGATGAAGGATTCAAATCTAGAGATTTGGATTCCACTTCCTCCTTTCTCCATTTTTCCCAAGATTCGCCACCATCTTTGTCGGGTTCTCCCTATTTCACTGTCTCCATCTTTATCCACCATTTAAATCGTCCTGGGAACACACCCACTTTGCTGGTGTATCTCCCCAGTCGACCTCACATTTGACTTCCAACAAACCTGTATCAATTTTTTAAATTAAGATAAATCGTTCCCCTCTTCAGTCTATCTTTGTACCCTAGTGTCCAAGCTACCCGTTCTACAATTCCCTCCACGTGCTGCGACCCCACTTCTCTCGACCTGGTGGCCTCTGGGAGCCTTTCTCTGCAGAAACCCATCAGCCGCTTGCCCAGGGTCTCCCTAGCTTTCAGCTTTCCTCCTCTCTCATGCTCCCCGTCTTTTGGGCCCTCAGTTTCTCGAAGCTTCTTTTCGTGCCTCCATTTGTCTGGGGCTTCTCTGTCCCCCAGGTTCTCTCGGAGATGCTCAGGATCCATCTCCGTTCGCTTCTAACTGCCGTTCGTCTCCCTCCCACATTTCTTCTCATCTCAGAATATCCCTCCTTCCTGGGCTCGCTTCCCGACAATCTCCCACCAGGTCCGACACCAGCCACCACCGCCAGCGCCCCTATGTCCGCCCCACCTCCCTCACCTCACTAACCGCCGCGAACGCCTCAACTTCCGGTTCCAAGAGCCTCCTTCCGCGCCCGCAGCCAGTCCTGCGCCTGCGCACGCCGCCCTACGGCCTGACCCCGCCCCGCCGCCGACAGAGGAGCCAGTCGGGAGCTGCGGGCTGCCCAAGTCCCACCTTTGCGCCTGCGCGCAGTACGCCACGCCCCGCCCCGCCTCGCTTTGGGCGGAGCCGCAAGTGACTCTGCGCCCTCTAGAGGCCGGTGGAGGCGTTGCGGTGAAGACATGCAAGCCCCGCCTCCCCTGCCCCAGGCCGCCCCCCAGTCCCCAGGGTGTGGCCACCTGCACCGATAGATCGCTAGGACGCTGGGGTTTTACCCCAAGACAAGTCGCCGGGGCCGGGGCGCTATTAAAACAGTCCCGTGATCACACTATTAATGTATAATTTACAAATAAATAATCCAAGTCAAAGCGCCAGCTCCCAGCAAGTGCCATTTCTGTCTTGGTCATCCTTTGTCCCCCCGCGCCTCATCATAGGGCCTGATGCCAGCATAGGGTCGCGAAATGTTTGTTGAATGAATAACCAAGTGAATAGAAAAGTGAGTCCTTTTCAATACAGTAAAGCAACACCATAAAGTAAACGTGAAGTTCAGTGTTCTTCTAGAGTTTACTTTTTTTTTTTTTTTTTTTTTTTTGAGACAGAGTCTCGCTTTGTTGCCCAGGCTAGAGTGAGTGCCGTGGCGTCAGCCTAGCTCACAGCAACCTCAAACTCCTGGGCTCGAGTGATCCTTCTGCCTCAGCCTCCCGGGTAGCTGGGACTACAGGCATGCGCCACCATGCCCGGCTAATTTTTTATATATATATCAGTTGGCCAATTAATTTCTTTCTATTTATAGTAGAGACGGGGTCTCGCTCTTGCTCAGGCTGGTTTTGAACTCCTGACCTTGAGCAATCCGCCCGCCTCGGCCTCCCAAGAGCTAGGATTACAGGCGTGAGCCACAGCGCCCGGCCTAGAGTTTACTTTTTAAAGTAGCAAAGTAGTCATAAAGAATTTCCCAACATATCCAAGACTGTTTCCATAAAAAATAAAGGGAACTGCTAAAAATATTTCTGAAAGAAAAAAGAATCCAGGCATGGTGGTGCATGCCTGTAGTCCCAGCTACTAGGGAGGCTGAGGCAGGAGGATCGCTTGAGTCAGGGAGTTTGAGGTTGCTGTGAGCTAGGCTGACACCACGGCACTGTAGCCCAGGGGACAGAGTGAGACTCTGTCTCAAAAAAAAAAAATCTAAGTCAGATGAAGACATCCCTGTGGTCAGTATAGGCTTGCCTGATTCAGCAGACACACAAATTACAGAAGGCCCAGTTAACTTTGGACTTCAGATAAACAACAACAATTTTTAGTGTAAGTATATCCCATGTGATTATTTGGGACATTATAACACTAAAAAACGTGTTGTTGTTTATCTGAAGCTTAAGTTTTTACTGAGAATCTTGCATTTTGTCTGGTAACCATAGCTCAGAACCCTCCCATGGGCCCCCAAACATGTGGAATGGCCCAGAAGGCTTTCCCAATCTGTCCCCCACTTCGTCTCACACCGCTGTCCCCCTCGCTCACTCCGCTTCACCCATGCCAGCTTCGTCACTGTTCCTTGAAAAACGTCAAGTACCTGCTGCCCCAGGGCCTTTGCTCTTGCTGTTTCCTCTGCTTGGAACGCCCCTCACCCAAATTTAAGCATGATTCCCTTCATTCCTTGAGGTTTTGGCTCAAATGTCACCTTACCCAAGTGGCCTTGCCTGGCTAAACCCTCCCCTCCCCCACCCAGCCCACTCTATCCCCTTAGGTTTTTTTTAGCACTTGTCACCACTTGACATACTCCATATTCCTTTGTTTATTGTCTGTTTTTCTCCACTAGAATGTCACCCCCTGAGGGCATGATTTGTGTCTGTTTTGGTCACTGCTATATAGCCAGTGCCTATAACCGGGCCTTGCAGGTGCATAATGGATGTTTGTTGAATGAATGAAGGAATGAAATGAAGACATTGGTCAGCCCCTGGATCCAGCTATGCCTGAAGCCCGTTTTGTGAAATAGGATAGGAGCATACAAGCAAGTGTCCCTCTAACCTACACTTCCATCTCTGAGACCAGGTCGTGGCTAGTGGATTTCTTGCTGGCCACACTTTCATCCTTGCCCTGCGACTCCCTCAGGGCCCAGCGACATGCAGCAGGCAGTGACCGGCGGAGTTGAGCCCGCCCGAAATACAGGAAGAGCACAGGATTGAGGCAGCTGTGAGCCAGGGCGAGGCCCACGACCAGGGGATCAGCTCGCAGGGCTTGGGCCAGCAGCGCAGAGTTCGGGGCAGCCGTGGCCACTACCAGTCCCAGCAGGTGGTAGGGAGTCCAGCAGACGAAAAACCCCACCACGACAGCCGTGCCCAGTGGCCAATGGCGGCGGGCCGCGTGGCACAGCAGGGCGCAGTGGCAGCTGGCCACCACCACCAGAGGCCCCAGGAAGCCAAAAACAAACCGGGTGACCATGACCGCGACCTCGGTCCCGACCGAGCCACCGTAGTCCACGACACACTGCAGCCGGGCAGGGAAGTGCTCCTGGTGCAGCCGGCGGTAGACGACAGAGGGCACCGTGAGCAGCGTGGCCAGCACCCAGGCTGCCACGCAGGCCACCCGCACCCCCCGCGTCCGCAGGGCTGCCACCCGCCAGGAGGGCCGGAATGCCAGCAGGCAGAAGTCGGCGCTGAGAGCAGCGAGGAGCAGGACGCTGGCGTACATGGACAGCAGGGTGACCGAGGGCAGCACCCGACAGCCCACTGCCCCGTACGGCCAGTGGCCCCTGCTGGCAACGGGCACCGCCAGGACAGGGAGAGACACACAGCAGAGCAGATCCGCTGCGGCCAGGTGGAGCAGCCAGGTGGCCCCGACCCTCTGGCGGGCCTCCTTCCCGGCCACCCAGGCCACCATGGCGTTGCCGGGCACCCCCGCCAGGAAGACGGCAGCATACAGCAGCAGCGAGGCCACGCGGAGCGAGCCGATGGAGTGGCAGGCGCCGTCCAGACAGTCCACCGGGAGATCCCCAATGTCGCCGTAATCCTGGTACTCGTAGCTGAGGGACGCGTTCTCCATTCAGGCCCCAGACGCCTGGGCGGGACAGAAACGGGACAAAGACCCAGTGAAGGAGATGCCAAGGCCCTGGGGGCCCGGGTGTTGGCGGCCCAGCCGGTCAGCACCTCGCAGACTGGACCAGTACGATGCTAGACGGCAGCACGCCGAGCACTGGGCTTCTAGAGTGCTAACGCGATAGATGGCTCGACAGGCTGGTGCCAGAGCGACAACCCTCAAGAAAAAGAAAAGAGCAGTCAAATAGGTGGCTCACGCCTGTAATCCCAGCACTCTGCAAGGCCGAGGCGGGCAGATCACTCAAGGTCAGGAGTTCAAAACCAGCCTGAGCAAGAGCGAGACCCCATCTCTACTAAAAATAGAAAGAAACTAATTGGCCAACTAAAAATATATATAGAAAAAATTAGCCGGGCATGGTGGCGTATGCCTGTAGTCCCAGCTACTCGGGAGGCTGAGGCAGGAGGATCGCTTGAGCCCAGGAGTTTGAGGTTGCTGTGAGCTAGGCTGACGCCACGGCACTCACTCTAGCCTGGGCAACAGAGTGAGACTCTGACTCAAAAAAAAAAAGGATCATGTAAGGCCACTTGGCATGTCCTAAGGACTTTATCTCTTATTCCACATGAGGCGGGGGCTGTCGGAGGGTGCTGAGCAGAGAAGTGACATAATCTATCATATTATAGCAATAATAATATTATTATCATTATGACAAGCCACCATGTATTGGACACTTTGTGTTATGTGCCAGGCATTGCTCCAAGCAGCTTTAAACACTGCATCATTTAATCTCTGTAACTGACTGAAATTGACACCGTTGTCAGACTCCTTCTGCAGAGGAGCAACCTGAAGCACAGAGAAGTTAAGTAACTTACCTAAGATCACACAGCTAAGCAGGCGACAGAGCTGAGTTTCAAACTGTGTTAGTGCCGCTGCAGAGCCCTGTGTCCTAGAGTATCGTGACCCCAAACACTTGGGGGACTCTGGAGTTGGAAGGCGGTACGGCCAGTGGTCAATCGGCTCCGTGGCCATGAGTGACAGACACTTGCAGTTGACTGTCTCACTTTCCTCATCAGAGAAATGGAAGTCACCGAGGTGAACAAGCCTCACCGGTTTGGGGAGCCCTGGGGAATGAGTATGTGGAAAGCATGTGGCACAGAACGAGGGTTTGGGGAGGACATGGATGAAGCTCTGGGGAGGACAGGACCCTAGAGTCCCCGCCCCCCACTCAGTGTCACAGTGGCCCGGCCCTCTGACTCTCTGCTGACTGTTCTGGCGTGGCTGGCACTGCCCAGAGCTCCGGCTGGTGTTGCCACACAGGAAGGACGGAGAGGAAGTTGGGACACTCCTCTGCAACCCCTCCGCCCTGCCAGGTAGCATAAGAGGCCAAGCCACTCTCCGTGTGTGTTTAGAGTGTGACACTCTGCTTTCATATTATTTCCATCCCTGGAGTCAAACCTCCCTGCAGGATTTCAAAACTCAACCCCCTACCAGCTGTGTGGCGTTGGGCACGTCACCTAACCTCTCTGTGCCTCCGAAAAATCCGAATCATACTATACCTACCTTCGAGGGTGTTCCTTAGAGGATGTTGTACGAATTCAACGAGTTAACAGAAGCGAAGAGCCGGGTGGCACTGGCCCACAGTGGTGTCACGTGGTGCCAGCTCCCTTATCTCTGTGCCCACGCTGCCTCCCTGGCCCCTCGCAGATCCCGCCCTGCCCGGCCCTTCTGATTACAGACAGTGCAGGAAACAGGAAACTTTCTGTGCACCAGCAACGACATCAGTCTATGGCGTTTCTTTTGTGATATTTTAACCCGAAATGGGGGCTTTCAACACCCGCTGTTCCATCTCTCCATCTTTTCCACTTAATGCGGTTTAGATGTGTTTTCCTGTCTGCCTGTCCGTACACGCGGCGATCCGATTCTTTGCAAGAGCTTCAAAAGCGGTCCACCGGCTGCCCGGGTCATGCTTATTAACCAGTTTGGCCTGTAATCCTGGCACTCTGGGAGGCCGAGGCGGGAGGATCGCTCAAGGTCAGGAGTTCGAAACCAGCCTGAGCAAGAGCGAGACCACCCCCCCCCATCTCTACTGAAAATAGAAAGAAATTAATTGGCCAACTAAAAATATATAGAAAAGATTAGCCGGGCGTGGTGGCGCATGCCTGTAGTCCCAGCTACTTGGGAGGCTGAGGCAGGAGGATTGCTTGAGCCCAGGAGTTTGAGGTTGCTGTGAGCTAGGCTGACGCCACGGCACTCACTCTAGTCTGGGCAACAAAGTGAGACTCTGTCTAAAAAAAAAAAAAAAGAAACAGTCGCAGACTAAAGGACACTTAATAGTAATGGTAAAGATAATCATGAGAAGCATTATAATTGAATTCCTTGTTATAATAAAAGATTTCCGTTTGTATGTTTACACACAGATGGTCCCCGACTTCAATATGCATGCAGTAGAAACCATCCTCCGAGTATCCATACAGTCATTCTGTCTTCCATTTTCAGTACAGTATTTAATAAATTACATGAGATATGCAACACTATTGTTTTTTGGTTTGGGGTTATTTTTTGTGTGTTTTTGGTTTTTTTTTGAGACAGGGTCTCACTCTGCCACCCACGCTGGAGTGCGGTCATGCGATCATAGCTGACTGTAACCTTGAACTTCTGGGCTCAAGCGATCTTCCTGCTTCAGCCTTCCAGGTAGCTGGGACTACGGGTTCATGCCGCCACACCCAGCTAATTTTTTAATTTTTTTGTGGAGTTGGGGTCTTGCTATGTTGCCCAGGCTGGTCTTAAGCTCCGGGCCTCGAGCGATCCTCTCGCCTTAGTCTCCCAAAGTGCTGGGATTGCAGGTGTGAGCCACTGTGCCCAGCCCGTTTGGAGCCTTTGACCGAAGCTCTGCTGTCGGGCTGCCCAGGTTGATTCTGCGACTCGGTGACTCTGGCGTGGATTCTAACGTGTTGGTATTAATAATAAGACTCCACTTCCCAAAGCCCAGTTCTGACCCCTAGATTCTGAAAGCAACCATTCTAAGAGGCCAAGATCATGGAGTCCCTCCCATTTCCTCCTTCCCTCCCTCGTTCCCTCCATCCTTACCGTCTCTTCCAAGAAAATCTCCAGTTTTGCCAAATGCCACTTGGAAGCACAGTCCCAGCCCCCAGCCGGGGCCCAGCAGGTCTGGGCTGTCTCCCGGAGTCTGGCAGCTGTGGAGTCCCGGGAAGCCACCCTGCATGCCGGGGCTCCTATGGGACACTTCGGCCACCGCCACCTCCCCGGCCCCAGTGAACATTCACGAGCAGGAAAAAACAGGAGTGGCCTTTCCCAGTCCCAGGGTGTGTTTGTCCTGGCTTCTTCCCATGACTCACACGGCCCACAGTGATGGGGCAGCCGGCGAGGTTGGAGAGGGCTCGGGTGGCGGGAAAGTTGGCCTTGTGTCCCCAAGGCTAATCTAAGAGTCCTGCTTCCTGGAAGCCAGCCCTAGTGTGGTTTGACCTTCAAGGCCTGGAGGGCTGGGCCTGGATGCGGTCTCCCCGCAGCAGCACAGCCCTGCCCGCTCGCCCCCGCCACGCCACCCTTCTGCCCTCTATGGGACACATAAAATATTCCTCCTGTCCCTGGAGGAAGGACAGCCCTGAGTCACAACCTCCACGAAAAGGCCAATGCAGCTGAGCGCCCGGATGGAATGCTCAGTAGTAGACAAAACCCACTCAAGTCCTGTCCCCACCCTGGGCCTCAATTTTCCTTCTGTAAAATGGGAAGATGTTGGCCATAGTGGTTCTTAACCTCCGCTCGCAGCGCAGCACAGTGGCTGAGAACAAGGACTCCAAGGGCCAGACCGATAAGATTCGTGCTCCAACGCTGGGAGGCCGAGGCGGGAGGATCGCTCGAGGTCAGGAGTTCAAAACCAGCCTGAGCAAGAGCGAGACCCCATCTCTACTATAAATAGAAAGAAATTAATTGGCCAACTAATATATATATAGAGAGAGAAAATTAGCCAGGCATGGTGGTGCATGCCTGTAGTCCCAGCTACTCGGGAGGCTGAGGCAGGAGGATCGCTTGAGCCCAGGAGTTTGAGGTTGCTGTGAGCTAGGCTGACACCACGGCGCTCACTCTAGCCTGGGCAACAAAGCGAGACTCTGTCTCAAAAAAAAAAAAAAAAAAAAAAAAGGTGCTCCAGCTCTACCCTCGTCCAGTTTTAGGGCCTCGGCTGCTCTGAGCCTCAACTTTCCTCATCTGTGAAGTGGACGGTTGCAATGTGCACTGATTGAAAACACGAATACCAGCGCCTGGCACACAGGATGCGCGGTGTGTGTGTGTTTGTTAACACCAACAAAGAATGTCATATAAATTCTTAAAATACACACCCACGCAGCACAGGCCTAGGGAGAGGAAGCAGCTCGGACTCCTGCTTGGGAATCTCACTGCCCAGCACCTGTCAGCGTTCGCGTTCCTCTCTGTGCGTGCTTTAGAGATGGAGGGGATATATTTGTGCATTTCTCTTGTAGTTGCTTTAGGGAATAAATTCCTGTCATTAGAGGAACTTATTTCTTTATTGTTTTGTTTTTTGTTTTTTTTTTTCTTTTTGAAACAGAGTCGCACTCTGTTGCCCAGGCTAGAGTGAGTGCCGTGGCGTCAGCCTAGCTCACAGCAACCTCAATCTCCTGGGCTCAAGCGATCCTCCTGCCTCAGCCTCCCGAGTAGCTGGGACTACAGGCATGCGCCACCATGCCTGGCTAATTTTTTCTCTATATATTAGTTGGCCAATTAATTTCTTTCTATTTATAGTAGAGACGGGGTCTCGCTCTTGCTCAGGCTGGTTTCGAACTCCTGATCTTGAGCAATCCGCCCACCTCGGCCTCCCAGAGTGCTAGGATTACAGGCGTGAGCCACTGTGCCTGGCCAAGGAACTTATTTTGAGGCAAGAAGCCAGGGCTCGTGTCCGACCCAGGGCGTCTCCCGTCCCCTCTCTCAGTGACCCTGCCCTGGATAGAGACAAACACACCCTTAGTTCCCTCTCTGCCCCAGTCTGTCCTTGTCACCCACATCCTGCCAGCCCCAGGCTCCTGCGGGAAGGCACCCTGGTTAAAAAAAGAGACTCTGATAGAAGAAACCAGGGAGGGAGTTTGTTCTTCCACAGCCCAAGCTTTCTCTGGCCCAAGGTGGTCTGTTTCTCGGATCACTTGATCTTTTCTTTTTTTCTTTTGAGACAGAGTCTTGCTCTGTTGCCCAGACTAGAGTGAGTGCCGTGGCGTCAGCCTAGCTCACAGCAACCTCAAACTCCTGGGCTCAAGCGATCCTCCTGCCTCAGCCTCCCGAGTAGCTGGGACTACAGGCATGCGCCACCATGCCCGGCTAATTTTTTCTGTGTGTTTTTAGTTGTCCAGCTAATTTCTTTCTATTTTTAGTGGAGATAGGGTCTCGTTCTTGCTCAGGCTGGTCTCCAACTCCTGACCTTGAGCAATCCTCCAGCCTCAGCCTCCCAGAGTGCTAGGATTACAGGCATGAGCCACCGCACCTGGTCCACTTGATCTTAATGAACTCCTTACCTAGCCACTAAGTCTCAGATATTCTGGGAGGCAAAGGTTTTTTGCTGTCCCTGGAGCAGGTGGTTCTCATCTGGGGGTCTGGGGGTTTGCTCTGGGCCAAGGACAGGGACTCTGCAGGCCTCAGAAGACTGGAGAGTGGGCAGTCTGTGCAGGGAGTTCTCTCTCAGCAGCCCCCAGCCCCTCAACTCCCCGGCCATTTCCAGTTCTTTGAATGAGAACATCCTAGAAGGTTATTAAGTTTACTCATATAAAACTGCCATTTTTATAGATCAAGAAAGGTTGAATTTCAGCAAATCCATAAGAAGTCAGAATGCAGATTGGCAGTCACCAGGGGGTGGGAGGTAAGGGGAGTAGGGGACAGGGAGTGACCTTTTCATGGGTATGGGGGTTTCCTTCTGGAGTGATAAGAATGTGCTGGAACTAGATAGCAGAAACAGTTACGTAAGACTGTGAATGTGCAAAATGCCACTAATGGTAAATTTTATGTTATGTGCATTTTACCACAATTTGCAAAAGCAATAAATAAATAATTGTCCCCCTTACCCCAAAATAGGTTGAATTTTGGCAATTTCATAGAGTTCAACCTAATGAAATTATAGGAGTCTGACAGGATGAATGTCTAAGATGGAGGAGCCAAAGTCTTTTTCTCTTTTGACCAATATAATATAAAACAATATGTATTATGTGATCTATGATGCATGGAAAAGAGTGTCTTAACACATATGCAAATCATAAAGCACAACCATAAAAGGAACTTCAGTGAAACCACCATCATTCTTAGAATTTTCAATTATCTAGATCAAGGATTGGTAAATACTTGCTGTCAAGGGCCCCAGTGAGTAAATATTTTCACTTTTGCCAGTCAAGATGTCATTTGAGGTCTGTCACAATGACTCAGCTCTGCCTCCACAACATGAAAGCCTCCATCAATAAATGGGCATGGCCTGTGTTCCAATAAAACTTTATTTACAAAAACAAGCAATGGGCCAGAGTTTGCTGATCCCTGATCTAAATCAAAGGCCTTAAGTATTAGAATCACAGACTCCAAGAATGTTGGAATCACAGGCTACCAGACCCAAGGGAGCCTACGGTGTGAGTTACAGATTACTTGAATTACATGATTAGAAAATGTTCTAGAACGGTCTAGAATGTTCTAGATTCCAGATTCTGGAGCCTTGAAGGGTTAGAAGCACAGAGCTCCAGCAATTAGGCGTTAGAATTTTGTAGACACTCTAGAACATCAGTCAAGGAAGTCCAGCCCTGAGCGGTTTGACACTCATGGCCACTGGCCACATGAGGCTACCGAGTATATGAAATATGTCAGGTCTGAGGTCAGAAGGGCTGACCGTAAGTGAAAAATTCACACTAGGTTTCAAAGACTTAGTACAAAAGGAAAAAAGAATATTAAATCTCTCAAGAATGTTTTTATATTGACCACATATTGAAATGACACTCTCTGAAATATATAGGGTTAAATACATTACTACAATTAATCGTATTTGACTGCTTCCGTTTCTTTGTGCCTGTCTTCTGCTTGCCTGCTGGGAGACATAAGCTCATGTAGGAGGCTCACACTGTACTTTCATTAGGCTGTGCCCGTCTAGAGTGACACCTCCTGCGTCTAGGAGGGTGAGGCTCAGGAAGGTCACGTGCACAGTTGCAGAGGAGGAGAATCCGGGGCACGGCCGGCTCAGCCAAGCCCGTCTCCCACTTCCCTTCCCCATCACTTCCCCTTTGGCACTTGTTGACCCAGCAAATTCTCCAGACCGCAGATTTGGCAATCCTCTAGCCCCCGGCCCACTTCCCTCCTGGGCGGGGCTTGTCAACACCAGGCAGAGGCCACCTCGGGAAGGCCACCTGGGTCCTACCCATCGGCCTCCAGGTGTTTTTAGAAGACCACTGTGGGGCTCAGCTCTTGGAACAGTATCTCTTTCCGGAATCAGGGTGGGGAGGAAATACTCACTGCCTACAACCCACTCCCCGAACCAGGAAAGCTAGAGCATGACCAGGAACAGAGGTGGAGGGTAAGGGCTGGGGAGGCAGAGGAGGCAGTCAAGGAGGACTTCCTGGAGGAGGCTGCACCCAAAGGAAGGTCAATGGGGGCAGGCATGGTCTGTGGAAAACGCGCTGGGCAGCCAGGAGATCAGGGAAGAGGCAAGGCAGGGACCCCAAGGGTAGAGGATGGAGGGCTTGGACCACGCAGGGCATGGGGTGGGAAGGAGGTGGCATGCAGGATGGGTTCCAGGAGTGGGTCTGGGTGACCGGGCGGACAGTGGGGCCGTCCCTGGGATGGGGAGGCAAGGAGAGGGAGAGGTTTGGGGGAGAATGCCGAGGTCAGTCTGGGCGCGGTGAGTGGGTGGGGAGGCCAGCTGTGGACCGAGATGTGGAAGGTATTGCGCGAAGTCACCACTCGCGCGTGAAGCGAGTTGGAGAGAGAGTTCGGGAAAGCAAACACTGAAGACAAAGAAACTCTGCAGAGGAGGCAGGATCGCGCAAAGAGGCAGAAGTAGCAGCGAGTCAGGAGCAGCCAGGGAGGAGGCAGGACTCAGCTCCTCCCCAGGGACCCCAACCCCAGGGGTCTGCACAGCGAATGCAAAGTCGCAGAGAGATGGGATCCTGCTCTGTTACCCAGGCATGAGTGCAAGGCTCATGATCATGGCTCTCTGCAACCTTGACCTCCTGGGCTCAAGTGATCCTCCCGCCTCAGCCTCCTGAGTGGCTGGACTACAGGCGTGCGCCGCCGAGCCCAGCTAGACAGTATCTTTTTTTTTTTTTTTGAGACAGAGTCTTGCTTTGTCGCCCAGGCTAGAGTGAGTGCCGTGGGTCAGCCTAGCTCACAGCAACCTCAATCTCCTGGGCTCAAGCGATCCTCCTGCCAGCCTCCCAAGTAGCTAAGACTACAGGCATGGCACCATGCCCCAGCTGACTTTTTCTCTATATATTAGTTGGCCAATTAATTTCTTTCTATTTATAGTAGAGACGGGGTCTCGCTCTTGCTCAGGCTGGTTTTGAACTCCTGACCTCAAGCAATCCGCCTGCCTCGGCCTCCCAGAGTGCTAGGATTACAGGCGTGAGCCACCGGGCCCGGCCTAGACAATATCTTTTAATAAGAGTTGTGGCCAAGGTAGCGCCAACAGTATTGTAGTGCCTGGATCTAGCTACCTTTTGCACCAGAATCAGGCAAAATCTTGGCCCAGTGTCACCCCCCAATGTTGAAGGTGATGTCTCCTAGACTCTCAGCCTGTATTCGCAAAGAGGGGGGCTCGATACCTGAGTGCTTGGAATGGGCAAGTCCAAAATGAGTTTTGCTCTGAATGTAACATACACACAGGGTTTCAAAGACTTAGTACCAAAATAGTAATAATAATACTATTTTAGGTCGGGCCTGGTGGCTCACGCCTGTAATCCTAGCACTCTGGGAGGCCGAGGCGGGAGGATCGCTCGAGGTCAGGAGTTCGAAACCCGCCTGAGCAAAAGCGAGACCCCGTCTCTACTATAAATAGAAAGAAATTAATTGGCCAACTAATACATACAGAAAAAATTAGCCGGGCATGGTGGCGCATGCCTGTAGTCCCAGCTACTTGGGAGACTGAGGCAGTGGGATTGCTTGAGCCCAGGAGTTTGAGGTTGCTGTGAGCTAGGCTGACGCCAATAGCATCCAGCCCAGACAACAGAGTGAGACTCTGTCTCAAAAAAAAAAACACTATTTTAGATATCTTGGATTAAATAAAATATAGTATTGATTACATTGGTATTATTTTACGTATTAAGTATCATATAGTAACATAATATAAGTATATTAATAGCATTAATATGACTATAATATTAATATATATGTACATTAATAAGTTATCATGTGTCATATACTCTATATATTATATAATATAATTCTATACTACAGGCCAGGTATGGTGGCTCATGCCTATAATCCTAGCACTCTGGGAGGCTGAGGTGGGAAAATCACTTGAGGTCAGGATTTCTAAACCACCCTGAGCAAGAGCGAGACCCTGTCTCTACTAAAAAAATAGAAAGAAATTAGCTGGACAACTAAAAAAATACATATAAGAAAAATTAACTGGGAATGGTGGCGCATGCCTGTAGTCCCAGCTACTCGGGAGGCTGAGGCAGGAGGATCACTTGAGCCCAGGAGTTTGAGGTTGCTGTGAGCTAGGCTGATGCCAGGGCACTCTAGCTCAGGCAACAGAGTGAGACTCTGTCTCAAAAAATTAAAAAAAAAAAAATTCTATACTATATTGATATTCATATAATATATACTATTTATTTAATAAAATTAATAGAGCATGATCATTGTTCTTATGATAACATAATTATATTATTGAATATTTGATTATTATTTCATCTGTTTCTTTTTACTTTTTAGATGTGGCTGCTAGAAAATTTAAAACTAAACGTGGGGCTCGCATCATATTTCTGCTGGACAGTGTTGGCCTATACGATATTTCTAGACAATCTACACGCCACACGTGCACAGTCTCTAAGCAGAAATATTGTAAAGTCATTATAAATAACTCATTCTAAATAACACGATCACCATTTCGATACTTCATATAATTTATTTTCATCATTAAAGTCACACATACTAGTTTCTGAAAGCTCCAAGTGTTGCAGACTGCATGATTCCCCTGAATAACATTCTTGCGATGACAAGAGCACAGAAATGGATAGTGGATTAGTGGCTGCCAGGGGCCAGGGACAAGGCTGGGGAGGGCAAGGGACCTGGCGTCCCTGGGATCCTCGTGGCCATAGCAGTGTCCCGAATGCTGCCTGCATAAGTGTCGGGGGAGAATGTCATGTCCCTTTGCAAGGTGTCACCTGGGGGTGGACACAGGGGACTAGACACAGGGGCCCCAGGATCCCTCTGTATCATTACTTACAACTGCATGGCATCTGCAGCGATCTCAAAATAAAAATTCTAATTTCTTTTTTTTTTTTAAAGTACAAACAAAATAACTGTTTTCCAAGTAAAAAGCATTTTTTTTACAATCTGCATCTACCCAGCCACTGTTTCTCTAACCTTAGCCTTTGGCATGTCTTCCTCATCCTTTTTCCATCCCACAGAATATCTTTTTACTTAATACTTAAAAAAAAAAAAAAAAAAAAAAACCTAAGTAACATTTTAACTTAATGTTTTTCTTTAAATCAACTCACAGGAGCTGAGACAGGTCTGCGGTCCCTTGGTCCTAACGGAGAGTATAACTTTCCAGATGCCAGTTACATTGTTTCCAACTCTCTATAAAATAAATACACAACTGAGTTTTTTGTTTTTTGGTTTTTTTTTTACATGGGAATGTTTCTATTTGCTTGTTTTCTAATGTCCCCGTTCACACTTTCTGCACACAGGGACATATTGCCCTGTAGGACACCATTGGCTTCCACCTGTTTTTCGAGAGTCTGGGATGGAAGGACAGGTTAGTCCTGGGAGTGAGGAAGGACGAGGACAGTCACCCTGGAAGGGCGGGGGGTGACAAGTCTGAGACAGACAAGAGGAAGGAGGAAAAGTTCGCTGAGACGACAGCAGCCCCCCCAAGAGCGGGGTTCCAACAAGCCGAGCAAGAGTGGCCGCAGAGGAAGGGGAGGGGACATCCGCTGTGGTGGCCCTGGTGGCCCCAGCTCACACGGCTTGGCTCTTCTCGGCCGGGGTGTCCGCGGTGGAGCGGGTGAACGACTTGCTGTCCCTCACCACGGACTCCTCGGCCAGCACGTGGCGGAGCAAGCTGGGGAGGGATTTGCGCAGGCGGCTTTGGAAGCCACCGCCGGCCACCACGTAGATGACGGGGTTGATGCAGCAGTTGACATAGGCAAGAGAGACACAGAAGGGATCCGCCTTCTTCACCTGCTTCCAGACGGACGAGGACGGCTCGAGGAAAGCCAGCATCATCCCTGTCACCTGGTAGGGCAGCCAGAAAATAAAGAAGCTGGCCACCACCGCCACCACCACCTTGACGGTCTTGGTGGAGCGCGTGGCCCTGCGGCTCCAGGTGCGCAGCAGCAGGAAGCTGTAGCAGAAGGTGAGGGTGAGCAGCGGCAGCACGAAGCCCGCGACCAGCCGGACGCTGGCCACGGCGCGCTCCCTGTGCAGGAGCTCCGGGCCGTAGTCGGTGCCGCACTTGGTCTTGGGGGGGTAGTGGTCCTCGGTCAGGGAGCGGTACAGGAAGGAGGGGATGGTCAGCAGCAAGGCCAGGACCCAGGCCAGGCCGCAGGCCGCCCAGGCCAAGCGGGCCCCTCGGAATTTCTGGCACCAGATGGGGTCGAACACCAGCACCAGGCGGTCGGCGCTGATGGTGGCCAGGAGCAGGATGCTAGCGTACATGTTCAGCAGGATGACGGAGGGCAGGATGCGGCAGGCGGTCGCCCCGAAGGACCAGTGGTTGTCCTGGATGATGGACGTGAACAGGATGGGCAGCACCAGGCAGGAGAGGAAGTCGGCCAAGGCCAGGTTGAGGAACCAGATGGCATTGACGGCCCGCCTGGCCTCAAACGCCGTCACCCAGACCACCAGGCCATTGCCCGGCACGCCCACCAGGAAGTCGATGGCCAAGATGACCAAGGCCAAGATGCTCCAAGGGTGCAGCGTGGTGGAATGGTTATCCACAGAGATGTTCGGGTCCAGGCTAAAGTTGTCCTCGTAGGGGTAATTGTAGGGCGTGCTATTCTCCATGGGCTCCTAAGTGGAATGAGAGGGGCGGGAGAGGGTGAGTCTGCAGACACAGGCCGAGGGGCCTGTCACAAGCCTGTGGCTTTTTGCCCACGTGAGCCTCATCACGTTTCTGCTGGGAAATGGGTCGCTGAGGGCTGAGAGTCGGCAGGGAGGTCATATATTTATTCAAATATTGAAACACTTCTGTGTTGACAGGGATCCCTGTCACCCTGTCCCTGCCCCACAAAGGACCCGGACTCCCCCACGATCCGGCACCCCAGCGGCTAAAGCCAGCCCCGCTGCAACCCTGTAGCCACGGCCCATTCCGGTCGGCCAGTGCCCATGGTACGCTGCGTGTTAGGTATATTTAATATCATCCACACCTGGGATGACAGGAATGGCTGGCTTTCCCCGCACACACCTCCACCCCCTCGTCCTGCCTGCCGCCCCCCGAAGCCGCCGGTCAGCTCCGTGCCCCATGTCCCAGTGGCTGCCCAGAGAAGACAGTGGCCTGGCAGTGCCTCACTCGTGTTGGGCACAAAATTTAAGGAAGGGTGCCCCAACACTCAGTCATCAAGATAAATAACATTTTAATACAGTATTTTGTTTTGTTTTTGTTTTTGTTTTTTTGAGATAGAGTCTCACTTTGTCGCCCAGGCTAGAGTGAGTGCCGTGGCGTCAGCCTAGCTCACAGCAGCCTCCAACTCCTGGGCTCAAGCGATCCTCCTGCCTCAGCCTCCCGAGTAGCTAGGACTACAGCCATGGGCCACCATGACCTGCTAATTTTTTCTATATATATTTTTAGTTGGTCAATTAATTGCTTTCTATTTTTAGTAGAGACGGGGTCTCGCTCTTGTTCAGGCTGGTCTCCAACTCCTGACCTTGAGCAATCGGCCAGCCTCGGCCTCCCAGAGTGCTAGGATTACAGGCGTGAGCCTCCGTGCCCAGCCTTAATACAGTATTTTAAAGAATCAAAATTAATGCAAAAAAAAAAAAAATCCATGGTGGAAAAAAAATGCAAATTGTATTTTCAAACAAAAGCCAGGTTCCGTTTGTTTTACGACCCTGTGTTATTGCGCAATTGGAGATGTTCGTTTCCAACCAGCCCCGGGGTTGCAGCCCCAGCTGGGCGGGTTTTTGGAGGGTCACAATGTGACCATGGGTGCAGACTCACTGGGCAACGTGGGGTTTTATGTAGTCGTGGGTGTTTTGTGGGTTTGATGGGGCTTAGAGTTTTATTGACTTTTTCTACTTGGTTCGAGCTAGGGGAAGATATTTTAGGCGTGTGTATAGGGGCGCGCGAGATGTATCCTTTTGTCCTGGGCGCTACTCGTGGCTCAGTGTGGCTCTAGGATTAGGTGCACTGGCCTAATCAGAGTCAGTCCTCTGGGGATCGGTGGCATTTCCTGCTGGTCCCTTCGCTGTCCCTGGAGAGTGGCTAGCAGCCACCAGTTCTCACCGTCATCATTCCCAAATGCTAAGCCATTAGGAGGACTTTTCAGTCTGGGCAGAGACAAAATGTTTGTGGGCAGCAAGAGGAAGACTAAGAAATAGGAATAAGAAATCGATTTTTCCTTTCTGGGGGGGGATGAAAGGAAGACAGAAGAATAGCAAATTCAAGAACAAGAGGGGCCGGGCGCGGTGGCTCACGCTTGTAATCCTAGCTCTCTGGGAGGCCGAGGCGGGCGGATTGCTCAAGGTCAGGAGTTCAAAACCAGCCTGAGCGAGACCCCGTCTCTACTATAAAAATAGGAAGAAATTAATTGGCCAACTAATATATATATGAAATATATATATATGAAATTAGCCGGGCCTGGTGGCTCGTGTCTGTAGTCCCAGCTACTCGGGAGGCTGAGGCAGGAGGATTGCTTGAGCCCATGAGATTGAGGTTGCTGTGAGCTAGGCTGACGCCACGGCACTCACTCTAGCCTGGGCAACAAAGCCAGACTCTGTCTCAAAAAAAAAAAAAAAAACAAGAGGGACCTCAGTACCCACATCAGGTCTCTAAATACCATTTGTCATTCAAAGGAACCAGGGCTCCTTGGAGAAAGCGTCATTCCTGTTCTGAGACAAGAACTAGACAAGATGAGCCCGCAGCTTCTTGCACTAGAACACGAGGAAATTCTTTTAAAATGATGGGGTCACATAAAAAAGGGCACAGGAGACAGCCTGACACGGCTGCCACCAGCCAAAGATGGGACGATTTGAGCATCACATAATAATAAGCGTAAATGGAATGAAACACGTCAATATATAAAGATCTGTGATTTCATAGTGATATTAACCCTTCGCACGCGGATGTCGAGTGTGACCCGACACGGTTAGCATCGGATGGAAAGCTCTATAAATTCACTCCTCACCCTAAAAACACAAAGATTGTCTTGTTCGTTCTAACAGAAAAATCAAAGGAGGAAGAACAGAGACGATTTATATTTGCAAAAACATGTGAATGTAAACCAGGTCTTCATGTGGGTGAATGTTTCAAAAAATATCACACCATGAAAAATTATAGAGATTAAAATTACTCTTTGGATGTATCAATAATGTGAAATATAAAAAAATCTGAATAAATAAGTTTGTATGAAAAGAAACTCCAGTTTTTTATTCTACTGCCGCGCTTTGTAAAATCTGGGGTATTTAAAATATTAAATCCAGGCCGGGCGCGGTGGCTCATGCCTGTAATCCTAGCACTCTGGGAGGCCGAGGCGGGAGGATTGCTCAAGGTCAGGAGTTCAAAACCAACCTGAGCAACAGCGACACCCTGTCTCTACCATAAATAGAAAGAAATTAATTGGCCAACTAATATATATAGAAAAAATTAGTCAGGCATGGTGGCGCATGCCTGTAGTCCCAGCTACTCGGGAGGTGAAGGCCAGAAGGATCACTCAACCCAGGAGTTCGAAGGTCGCGTGAGCTAGGCTTGACGCGCACGGCACTGCACTCTAAAAGTCATCACCTAGTTCGGGGACAGAAGTGAGACCTGCCTCAAAAAAAATTAAATCATAGGTAGAATAAAGAATCGAAAACAAAGGCAAGCAGCATGCAAAGGGTTAAACAAGCAAACTCATTGGCCTCCTTCTTATTCTGGGAAGGAAAAGAATGGAGCATCTCTCGCATTTCTGTACAGAGTGGGGGGAAGTTTCGGGTAAATACGTCAAATTGGGAAAAGCCTTCTTGAAATAGAACCTAAGAGGAAGCATATAGTGCATGCAGGGGAGTGACAGATATATGAAAGCATGGATCTGCATGATGGTGACCAGGGTCTGATAAAACCATCTAAGGTGAAGACTAGGCAGAAACTCGCAATGCATAATAGAAGGTCTGGTGGCACCCGATGACGCACTCATCACTTAGCATCCCAGGAAGAGAGACCACCTCCAATAACACCACAGGGACACGCAAGTGGCCAAATCAGACTGTGGGAAACTCTGCAGGGAAAATAAAAGGGTCTGGTCTCCTCCACGTATCAATGGCATTTTCAAAAACCAGAGGGGCCAGGCAGTGGCTCACTGCGCTGTAATCTCTAGCTCTCTGGAGGCCGAGGCGGCGGATTGCTCGAGTCAGCGAGTTTCGAAAACCAGGCCTGAGCAAGAGCGGCCCCGTCTCTACTTATAAAGAAAGAAATTATTGGCGCAACTAATTATATCACGACAAAATTAGCCGGCATGCGGGGCCGCAGCCTGTAGTCCGCCAGCTACTCGGCGAGGCTGAGGCAGGAGGATCGCTTGAAGCACCAGGAGTTTGAAGGTTGGTGAGCGAGGTGCTGACACCACGGCAATCACTCACCTGGGCAACAAAGTGAGATCTCTGTCCAAAAAAAAAAAGCGTAGCCGTTGAATAGCACTCCAATGGGAAACAGACGACATTTTTTGACAATCCGAGAGGGTTAACAAATGGATCTGGTTAGTTTGATAACAGTAAGAATTCAGTGAAATTTAATGGGTGTCGAAAGGCTATTGCTTTTTTATTTATTTATTTGTTTAGACAGAGTCTCCACTCTGTTGCTGGACACGAGTGCCGTGGCGTCAGCCTAGCTTCACAGCAAGCCTCAATATTCCCTGGGCTTCCCAAGTGATCTCCTGCCTCAGCCTCCCCCCGAGTAGCTGGATACAGGCAGCGCCACCATGCCCGGCGATTTTTTCTATATACTTAGTTGGCCAATTAATTTCTTCTATTTTTGAATAGAAAGTGGGCGTCGCTCCTTGCTCAGGCTGGTCTCAGAACTCCTGAGCTCAAACAATCCGCCTACCTCAGCCTACCAGACGCTAAGATTATACAGACAACGTGAGCCATGGAGCTGCCTGTGTTTATGGTTTAAAACAAACAAACAAAACACAGAAAGTCCTTCTGTGATGGGAGCTAGCACAGCAGGGTGAAACAGGATGTTTTGGCCTCACTTTAAAACACTCTAGCAAAGAAATAGCTGGAGCAGGGCCCGTGGCCTCACGCTGTAATTCCTAGCACTCCTGGGAGGCCAAAACGCGAGTAGATTGCTCAAGGTCAGAGTTCGAAACCAGCCGAGGCAACGAGTGTGACCCCAGTCCTCTACTATCAATAGAAAGAAATTAATTGGCCAATTAATATATATAGAAAAAATTAGCCGGGCATGGTGGTGCATTCCTGTTGTCCCACCTACTTGGGAGGCTGAGGCAGGAGGATCGCTTGAGCCTAGGAGATTGAGGTTGCTGTGAGCTAGGCTGACGCCACGGCACTCTAGCCCCATGAAAGAGCAAGACTGTGTCTCAAAAAAAGAAAAGAAAAGAAGTAGCTGGAGAGAGAAGAGGAGAGGGAGGGGGAGCCAGGGAGAGAGGCAGGGGAGAGGAAGAGAGGAAGGAGGAGGGACGAGGGAGGGAGGAGGGCAGGGCAGAGGATGACTAAGAATGACAGCGGTGCTAACTGTCCAAGCTGAGGGATGGGCACATTGGGCACATAATATTGTTCTCTCCACTTGTTTTGTTTGAAATTTTCCAGAATAAAATAAAGGTCAGGAAGGCCCTTAGCACTTCTTCCCAAAGGCAGCTACAGGA